CGCAGCGAATCCCAAAGAACCTCTCATTCCACACCAGATTCCTGAGAGACCATGGCAGGTCGTGGCCTCAGATCGCTTCACATGGCGTGGACGGGACTACTTAGTAGTTGTGGACTATTACAGCCGCTACTTTGAGGTTGAAAGGCTATTCTCTACCACCGCAGGGTCCGTCATCAAAAAGCTCAAGGCCATATTCGCCAGGCATGGTATACCAGAGAAGCTTGTCTCGGATAACGGCCCACAGTATAGCTGTCGAGAGTTCAAGGATTTTGCAGTCACATGGGACTTTGTCCACACGACCTCAAGCCCTTTGTACCCACAAAGCAACGGCCTTGCTGAAAGAACAGTTCAATCGGCCAAATCAGTTCTGGATAAAGCTCATGCACAGGGAGTAGATCCATACCTGTCTCTATTGGAGCAAAGGAACACGCCAGTCGACGGCTTCAGATCACCAGCGCAGCTCCTCATGAGTCGACGTCTGCGCTCAGTGATTCCCATCACTGGACACCAGCTGTCGCCTCGCATCATAAGCCAGACGGTCGTGCAAAAAACACAGATGGAAAGGCAAGAGCGTCAGAGGCACCACTACCGAGGCTGCAGCAGGGTGACCACATTCGCTTTCAGCACAAGTCTGGAAGCTGGAAACCAGCTGTCATCATCCGACCTGCAGAGACTGCCCGCTCTTTCCTGATCCGCACTGGCGAAGGACAGACTATACGGCGTAACCGACGGCACCTGAGAGGAGCCAAGGCGGCACCGGCACCTCCAGCACCAACATCCGATCTGGTAACCCAGCTGGATAGTGCAGCTCCACAACAAGCAGAGCCCCTGTCGCCGTCCAGAGACACTACAACACCAACCAGGGACACTAGCTCTACCCTGACCACCAGATCAGGACGAGTGGTCAAATCAAGGGTCATTCTTGACCTGTGATTGTAAAGGGTGTAGGCAGATCGCTGCCCTAAAAAGAAAAAAAAAATTCAAGTGGATGTACCAATGTGTGCATATCCTGTGTTGCATTGTTATTGTTAGTTTTATGTCGCAGTAACTTTACATATTACAGTGTTGAGCAGACTGTTCCGTATCCTCATGTTCAAGATGTTCCATTTTGAAATGCATGCCAGCTGTGTCACTGGCGGACATATATATATTAAAAAAAAGGGAGATGTTGGATTGTTCATAATGTTTGCACTCCGTACTTATTGTCCTGTGTGTTGTGCCGTAGCAGCAACTGGGAGTGGTTATGTTGGACCGACGAGCAGCAAATAAAAGAAAAATGAAACAATGTCTATCCCTCAAAGGATCTGCTCAGAAAACGTTTTAACATTGATGATAATTCATGTTCCTTTTGTGGGAAGGATGTTGAAACAACTGATCATATTTTCTTTGAATGCAACAAGACACGGACGTTTTGGAACTGTTTTGAAAACTGGATTCAACCTCAGATTGGAATCCCATGTCCCATTTCAAGAGATGTCGTCACCTTTGGAACTCTCCTTCAAACAAACAACCAAGAACTCTGCTACAATCTACTTCTCTGTCTGGCAAAATTCTTCATACATAAACAAAAAATACTGAAATCACCCCCTGTGTTCAATGCATTTGTACATGATTTTAGATTGTATCTAAGATCCCTTAAATGTATCAATAATAACAGCTATGAAGATATGTATAGACTTTTTTGTAGACTTCCTGGAACTGTGTAGTGGTCCCTTGCATTGTTTTTGTGTTGTTTTTTTTGTTGTTTGTTTTTGTCCTCCCCCTTTTCACTGACTGTTCAATTCTCATCTGAATACATTGGCATGTTCGCCTTATTTGTAATGTAAATATGCTTTTCTGCAATAAAAAAATAAATAAAATAAAATAAAAGAAAAATGGTGGCTCGTGAAGCAGGCTAGGAATACTGATTCATAAGTTTGAGAGTGGAACATTACAGACATGTCCGGGGAAAAGAGGACGTACGGTCACCCTAGTTTAATATAAAGCGGGAGATTACAGATACAGTATTTTACTCGTGCCCTTGCTGCCCTGGGCCCTTTAGAGTTCGTGGGCCCCTGGCAATTGCCCAGTTGCCCATATGGTTAATCCGGCCTTGCCCACTTGCACTGTAAGTACAATAAAACTTAATGATTATCAACTGCAATCTTGGAAAATCAGTTTAATGTTGCTCATTTTTTTACGTACCTATTTTTATTCACTGTAAGGAATCTGTGCTGCGGTTGCAACTGGGGGACAATAATGGGAGTTTCTAGTAAATTTTCTTTTTTAATTTTAATGTCGGTTTTAAAACTTGTTCTGCTTATTATAAATCACTCAAATGAGGATTTAAAAAGTTCATCTTTAGTCCATTAAATGTTATGGAGACAGACAAAATAGTTCGCAAATCTAAATAAAAATTTGTTGGAGAAATAAACACTTCCGCCGTGGTTACAGCTACTTCCGGCATCTAGTTTGCAGTCAAATCGAAGTAATATTCAGTGTGAGCAGGATGGATCAGAGAGTGAGCAGCGATCCTGCATCATGACCAGCTCAGATGAGCGGGTCTGATAGAGGGAACCTCTTCAATCTGATGAAAGCAGCAAAACGAGCGCGTTTCTCAGAGAGGCCAAAGGAACAGCAGCAGATCCAGAGAGGGCAGGAAGTCTAGAGAAAAGCTTTTCTCACCCACAACCTGATTCTGGAGCTCCGATTGTCACGAAAACCGCAGAATATCTTCTCCGGTTCTGGAAAGAACTCCACCAAGTTGTTGAGGAGGAGAACGTTTCCACAGCCTGGTGATGGTTTACAGCGCAGCTGCTTCTGAGGGAGCTTCTTCTTTCTCCTTTATGGCAAAAACAACTGTAGCTGCTTTGCCGCCATCTACCGGTCTGGAGCGAAGACACACAGCGTCGTTGCCATATTGGATAGGTCTCTACGCTTCTAAAGTCAATGCAGAGTGAGCAACTATGCTCTTTTGTGTGCCGCCTACGGTTAAAATAACTGGTGTACAATAACAGATCATGTGTGATTATTAGTGTCTTTTTGATTTTTATTATTGATTTTATATGTAAACTATACTGTATTTATTTTGCATGCTGCTAACAGTTAGCATAAGGATATTGATTACAGTGACCAACCTTATTCACCAGTCGAACAGCACTGTGATCCCATTCCTCAGAGTGGAATCCCTCCTCATGGCGCAGAATAGACACCAACCAAAATTAGGCAAAATTAGGAGTCAGAACAATACACAAAAAAGACTAAGAACATCCACACAACTCTGGCAACATAACCTTAACAAAACACACCCAAATTAAAACAAAACTGACAACCCATTACCCACAATGCACCATGCCCAACTGCTGCCACTACTAGGCTGAAGAAAGGACCCGAAAAACCCTAGCACACCGTTTTTTATGTTTTGAGTTAGTTTTTTATTTGAAGTTGAATAAATATTAAGCTATTTATTGACTTATTTAATTTATATTGCACACAGTTGTCTTTCACAATCGGCCTTAAAATACATTTATGTCAGTGATTCAACTTCAGAGGAGAAACTAAAATATGAGACAGGCTCATTGCGTGCAAAGCCAGATATTTCAAGCCTTTTATTTGTTTTAATTGTGATACTGGCTTAAAGGTTATAAAAATTCAACAATCAACATCTCAGAAAATCAGAATATTGTGAAATGGTTCAATATTCTAGAATCAAAGAGTCACACTCTGAGCAGCTTATAATGAATCCAGAACACCTGCAAAGGGATCCAGAGCCTGCACTTGCTTGGTGTGTGTGTGTGTGTGTGTGTGTGTGTGTGTGTGTGTGTGTGTGTGTGTGTGTGTGTGTGTGTGTGTGTGTGTGTGCGTGCGTGCGTGCGTGTGTGTGCGCTCTGTCTTCTCGATCCCCAGTGACTCGTGGAGGATGTCTGCTTATACTGAGCCAGGATTCTCTGGAGGTTTCTTCCTGTTAAAAGGGAGTTTTCCTCTCCACTGTCACTATATGCTTGCTTGGTATGAGGATTGCTGTAAAGTCACTGACACTAGTCAGTGACTTGTTGCAATGTGCTGGGTTCATTATATAGGAAACACTATTTCTGATTGGCTTAATGAACTGACCTGAATCGGAATGTTTATTATGTGAAGTGCATTGAGACGACTCTTGTCGTGATTTGGCGCTATATAAATAAACTTGAATTGAATTGAACTTTAGATGGCCTCAGTCTAAGCTGGAAAACTGAGATAAATTAACTTTTGCAACATATTCTCATTTTTTGAGTTTCACCTGTAATGTTATTAGACTATAAACAGTTATGTTTTTAAACCTATGTTTATTTACTATCTCACATTTCCTCTTAAACCCTCTGGAGGCAGGCGTTGCAGATTTGCAACGTTAAATCCTACCTACCTGGTTACTCCACATACGTATTTCATGAGCATTTTTAAACTCAGAAGTACCCCTGAAGGACTTAGTTGTTCGTCCTTTTATCAAAACTTATGTTGAGCCTGAGAGGGTTAAAGGTAAATACACTTTTCTTAGTAAATAATTGATTTTGTGCTTTTATTTTGAAGGTCATAAGCGAAAGTAAATCTGACTCAGTAGAAGAAACGCGCCACGAGTTGCTTGTTTTGAGCTGGTGCCGGAGGATGAAGACATTTGTAGTGTCTCTGATTCTCCTGCCAGGTAAGAGGTTTATCTTGTTCATTTGTTGTTCAACCACCTCTGAGGTGCTTTGTGCTGAGTTCAGAAAAGTTTCACACAATGAGTGTAATGAGGCTGTAGCAACTTTTCAGTAGAAAGGAGCAAGAACAAGATCACAACATGCCCTATAGGTTATAAATTGTAAGTCGCTTTGGATAACAGCGTCTGCTAAATAAATAAACATAAACATAAAACAAGACAGTAGAGAAGATCTGATCTTTAGTTTTCTGACCCTGTGGAGTGTTTGCTCTGTTACCACACCCAGGTAAGCTGCCCAACCCATTTCTGTCAAATAGCTGTAACAACTAAAAAACGATCATGAAGATGATTGCAACACACCTGAATGAGGAAATGAATGAACTTGAATTTTAATATTTGGCCGCCATTCGAGCAGGTGGCTCCAGAGTCACTTAAACTTTCTATAGATGTCTTCTGGTTATTTATGGATAACACAAATAACAACAAAACCACACCTAACTGAATTAATTTGACTTTCTAGACAAACTACACAATCCTTTGGTTTATTAAAATGTTTTCATTTGTTTTATTGTTCCAGTTATTTTTTAATGAACATAAATTAGCTTTTGTTTGTTCTAAATTACGAGAGGTCCTTGGTCCAATCCCCAGGCTTGGCACGCACACACACACACACACACACAGACACACACACACACACACACACACACACACACATTCGTACACACACACACATGCACATGCGCACGCACACACACACACACACACACACATGCACATGCGCACACACACACACATGCACATACAAACACACGCACACGCATGCACATGCACATGCACACACATACAGACACAGACACACACACACACAAACACATGTTCACACCCACACCCACACCCACACATATTCATACACACACACACACGCATGCACATGCGCACACACACACACACGCATGCACATGTGCACACACACACACACGCACACGCATGCACATGCACATGCACACACACACAGACACACATGCTCACACACACACACTCATACATACACGCACACGCATGCACACACACACGCACACTCATGCACACACACACACACACACGCACACACACACACACACACACGCGCAAACAGACACACGCACACACATGCACCTGCACACACACACACACATACATACACGCACACACATGCACCTGCACACACACACAGACACAGACACACACACACACACACATGCACCTGCACACACACACAGACACAGACACACACACACACACACACATGCTCACACACACACACACACACACACACACATACACACACGCATACACATGCACCTGCACACACACACAGACACAGACACACACACACACACACATGCTCACACACACACACACACACACATACATACACGCATACACATGCACCTGCACACACACACAGACACACACACACACACACACACACACACACACACACACACACACACACACACACACAGCTCCATCAGCTCTGTGAGGGAGAGACGCACCTGCATTGATGGAGATGTTTTGCTCTCGGACTTACCTGTGACCTGTGGAGCGTTGCAACCACGGAGGTCATTTTCACTTAAGAAGTGGGGGGGACACAACCGGCTTGAGGACCGGGGGGTGGGGTTGTATCTTTAAGGTATGTTCTAATGGTAAACAGGCTTCAACACAAGTGGTTGTTTTCCACTTGTTCCTAGAGCTCAACCAGTGTCTATTTAATAAAGCATAATATTGTTTTTGTATGGCAAAAAGTGCAGGGGTCAAAACTTGACTTTGTAAAAAGTGGGAGGGACATGTCCCCCCTGTCCCCACCCCAAATTATGTCCATGGTTGCAGTGCAATTTCCTGCCAGGACAACAGAGGGTGCAGTGTTATTCTGGGTTCTGGGTCCCGTCATGTTTATATTGTGTTTTTTATATTTCAGAGACTTTTGAACGTGGACAAATTTGTCCCCCATTCTCCTACACCTCTGTTCTGTATAGCACTTACAACACCCGCAGGACCAAAGGGCTTATAAATTATGTAATCAACAATGACCCAAAATAAATTAACAACCATGGATCTAAAACAATAAACTAAAAGCTTAAAGTTTCAACAAACTATTTAGTGTTACTTAAGAAAAGAAACTACTGGTGACTGGGAGAACTTGTGAGCCCTGGCAGCTGATTGGACCTATTTTTATCTGTGTTCTTTGCAGTTTTCCAGGATGCTTTGGGTGTAGAAGTGTTTGATGATGTAGAGTCTGTCCAGCTGCCCTGTCAGGTCACCGTTTCTACTTCCTCCGACTCTACGGTGGTTTGGAGTCGAGAGGACCTGAAGTTTTCAACCGTTCATGTGCGCCAGCAGAACGGCGATGACCTCGGAGAGCAGAACCAACGCTACAGCCGTCGGACATCAATGAGGGCGGATGCGCTGCAGACTGGAGACTTGAGCCTGGTCCTGATGAAACCAGAAGTCTCTGACAGCGAGAACTACACCTGCACCATCCGCAGGTTTGGGAAAGAACTGGAGCAGATCCATGTGCTGTTGAGAGTTCTGGGTGCGTGTAGACACGGGTCGCTGTGACTAGAACTCCTTCTGGAGCTCTTGAGTGTCCTGAAATCATTATTTTATGTTTCTGTCGACTGCAGAACGTCCTCCGCTGTGGCCTAAAGTTGTATCACCTGTGCTGGCCTTGCTATTTGTCCTGGCAGTTGTTTCTGTGGTGATCATCTACTGTAGATATAAAACCATAAAATACAATCCTGGTAGGTCATTAACGATGCTCAAACACCATCCATCCCTCTGTTTCTTAAAGCTTGTTGCTTAACTGTGTTCTCAGTCTACAAGCTGCAGCTGCAGAAGGCCGTGGCTGGTCAGGAATCGGTTTCCCTGCCCTGCAAAACCAAAACTCGCCTTCCCCTGGATGCTACAGTGGAGTGGAGACGCATTGACACAGATACAGTGGTCTACACGTATCCAAACAATGTACAACATGACCACGCTCAACACGAGAGCTACCAAGAGTGCACAGAGATGATTGAGAACCCTTTGAGAACTGGAGACCTCACTCTGACTCTCCTTGGACCTTGTCCCAGCGACAGCGGTCTCTATGTCTGCACGGTGCTAAAGGAAGGACGCAAACTCAAGCAGAAGATCGTGTCTCTTACAGTGGAAGGTCAGCTTGAACTCTCTGTGGGGTTCCAAATGTGCCAAAAGTATTTGTCCTTTATGTGCATTCACTACACAAGTGATTTCACATTTGGGTTTAATGCAACCAGCGCTTCTGTGGTCACAAATAGGGTTGTCACGGTAACTGGTGTAGCAGTAAACCCCGGTAAAAAAAAGCTGACAATAATAATAACCGTCTTGTTTTTAAAAAAAACTATATTATCTCGGTGGATTACCGTGGCTGCGGTGTAGGCGCGGTGACCCTTACCAGCCACCGTATCATCTGCAGAAGTTAACGGCGGCACATGCGCACTTTGTTGTTTACAACCAAAACTTTCTTGAAGCTAAAGCTGAAATAATGGCCAAAGGAGGAGACGGCAGCGCTCAGGACATTTATTATCCCTCAAAGAAGACAAAGTGGGAAGTACGGGCATTTTTTGGATATTTGAAGAATGCCGAGGGACAGTTGATAAAAGACGGCTATCCTGTTTGCAGCACGTGCAGAAAAAGTGTCTGTGAAAGGCAGCAACGCTTCAAATCTCATGACCATCACCCACAACTCTACAGTCAACGCAAGGCAAGCTAACGTTAGCGTTTTAGCTAAAATGCGCGATCCGAGGATTTGGGTTGAGGGAGAATGCAACGAGTCGTTATATAAAGCAGCCGCAGCGTCGCTACTGCATATAAACCGTGTCACGGACACCCCCATATTGAAACAACGCTATGCATTATGGGGCTCCCAGGGGCAGATAAGAGTTGGTCCCTCTCCGAGAATAATTATGAATTAACAATGATTACTGCCTGATGACATTTTCCCACATCTGCAAAGCTCACTGGAAGGACACAAACCGACGACAATATTTTTCTGATATAGGGTTTTTTACTCAAGTAAGGGTAAAAAAGTATCTGATTAGAAGGCTACTTGAGTACTGAGTATCATCTGATCTAATATTTTTAAATGATGACGTCAAACAGACAAAACATAAGAAGTTATGGGCAAATATTGGTATTTTAAAGACTTAAGGGGAAAAATGTAAACAAATAAACAACATAATTACAAAATAACAAATTATAGGCAAAATTTTGACACAAACCGAGGACAATATTTTCCTGATATACAGGGTTTATTTAGTTGTCTGAAAACGTAACACGTTTAAAAAAATGCCGCGATAATACCGAAAACCGTGATAATTTTGGTCACAACAACCGTGAGGTTAAATTTTCACACCGTGACAACCCTAGTCACAAATAGCATTTTACTGCTACATTGTGCATAGAAATGGGTCACATGTCATAACATTTAACAACTGTAAATTGTTCTGTATTGCTGTAATGTTAGGGTCTTCTAACGTATTATCACTCTTGTATGAAACTTGTCTTCTTGTGTCGTCACGTGATGTCGTCTTTTTCTGTTGTCCGGCTGTTTTGTTACCGGATGTTATTTGGCAAAAAAGATTTCTCCCCGTTACGTCTAGATCACGGGACCGGTTATTTCAAAGTAATGAAAATTTCCAACATAGGTGCCCGACACATTAGCTGGCTATGTTTTTAAGAGGCATGAAAAATGTTTTAAGCTAATTTGTTTTTCCAAATTTGCCATTGCAGCTTTAAAAGTAAAACCGTGAGATTCTGTTTACGGAATATAGCCATATTGTATTTTTAGAGCAGTTAGGATCTGAAAGCCCCACCCACTTACCTGTGCTCCGTCATGATGTTTTAAGAAAACATAAAACATTTTAAATACAGTAAAACGTCTGGATAGGTTGAACGGTGTCCCAGCGGGGTCAACTCTGCTCTCCGGTGGAATGAGTCCGGTGCTTAAATGTTTGGTCCTTTGTCTGGTTACTTACTTAGTGATAATTTTAGCAGTATTATGACTTGGATTTTAACTTGGTTCAGTTTGTTGTTGATCTGAGTTAGTATTTAAACTACTAGATTTTTCTCCTGAGTTGCAATTAATAATCACACGTTTGTTTTTAATCTGTGCGTCATCTTCCACAGACAGATATCAACAGTTTAACTTTTGGTCACAGAACTTTAAAAATATTTCTTCGGGAACCCAAACTGAACAATGTCACACGAATCACTGTAAACTGTCGAAACTATTTTAAGATGACAGAAACAAAATGTTACCGGAGGGCTACCGGGGTCCCACCCTGGAGCCAGGCCTGGGGTTGGGGCCCGTGAGCGAGCACCTGGTGGCCGGGCTTTCGCCCATGGGGCCAGGCCAGGCCAGGCCCGGCCCGAACCGGATACATGGGCTCATCCAACTGTGGAGTGTGGACCCACCACCCACAGGAGAAACATGAAGGGTCCGGTGCATTGTAGATCGGGTGGCAGACCGAGGCGGGAGCCTTGGAGGTCCGAGCCCCAGACAAGGAAACTGTTTTTTGGGACATGGAACGTCACCTCGCTGACGGGGAAGGAGCAGGAGCTTGTGGCAGAGGTTGAGTGGTACCGGCTAGATATAGTCGGACTCACCTCGACACATAGCATTGGCTCTGGAACCCAAGTCCTTGAGATGGGTTGGACACTCTCCTTTGCTGGAGTTGCTCCGCGTGAGGGGCGGAGGGCTGGGGTTTGCTTTTTGTTAGCCCCAAGACTCTCTGCCTGTGTGTTGGGGTTTACCCCGGGGGATGAGAGGGTAGCTTCCCTGCGCCTTCGGGTCGGGGAACGGGTCCTGACTGTTGTTTGTGCTTATGGGCCAAATGTCAGTTCAGAGTACCCACCCTTTTTGGAGTCGCTGGGATGAGTGCTAGATAGTGCTCCATCAGGGCACTCCATTGTTCTGCTGGGGGACTTCAATGCTCATGTGCCCAATGACAGCATAACCTGGATGGGTGTGATTGGGAGGAAAGGCCTGCCTGATCTGAACTCGAGTGGTGATTCGTTATTGGACTTCTGTGCAAGCCGCAGTTTGGCCATAACGAACACCATGTTCGAACATAAGGATGCCCATCAGTACACTTGGTACCAGGGCAGCCTAGGTTGCAGGTCGATGATAGACTTTGTAGTCGTATCATCTGACCTGCGGCCGTATGTTTTGGACACCCGAGTGAAGAGAGGAGCGGAGCTGTCAACTGATCACCACCTGGTTGTGAGTTGGATCAGATGGCAGGGGAAGATGCCGTGTAGACCTGGCAGACCCAAACGCATAGTGAGGGCCTGCTGGGAATGCCTGGCAGAAGAACCTGTTAAGATGGTCTTCAACTCCCACCTCCGGCAGAGCTTTGACCGTGTCCCGAGAGCAGTGGGGGACATTGGCTCCGAGTGGGCCTTGTTCCACTCTGCGATTGTTGAGGCGGCTGTTGCTAGCTGTGGTCGCAAGGTGGCCGGTGCCAGTTGTGGTGGCAACCCCCGTACCTGCTGGTGGACACCAGAGGTTCGGGGAGCCGTCAGGCTGAAGAAGGAGGCCTACAGGGCGTGGCTGGTCTGTGGGTCTCCGGAGGCAGCATACAGGTTCCGGATAGCCAAGCGGGGTGCAGCAGTGGCAGTTGCCGAGGCAAAATCTCGGGCATGGAAAGAGTTTGGTGAGGCCATGGAGAAAGACTATCGATCAACTCCAAAGAGGTTCTGGCAAACTGTCCAGCGCCTCAGGAGAGGAAGGCAGCAACTTGCTCACACTGTTTACAGTGGGGATGGGGAGCTGCTGATGTCAACTGGGGCTATAGTCGGACGGTGGAAGGAATACTTTGAGGAGCTCCTCAATCCCACCTACGCGCGTTCCGAGGAGGAACCAGAGCCGGGAGACCTGGGGATGGACTGTTCAATCTCGGGGGCAGAAGTTGCTGAGGTAGTCAAACAACTACACAGCGGTGGAGCCCCGGGGGCGGATGAGATTCGTCCTGGCTATCTCAAGGATATGGATGTTGTAGGGCTGTCGTGGTTGACACGTCTCTGCAACATTGCGTGGTCATCGGGGGCAGTTCCTGTGGAGTGGCAGACCAGGGTGGTGGTCCCCATCTTTAAGAAGGGTGACCTGAGGGTGTGTTCCAACTATAGGGGGATCACACTCCTCTGCCTCCCTGGAAAGGTCTACTCCAAGGTACTGGAGAGGAGGGTCAGATCGGTAGTTGAATCTCAGATTGAGGAGGAGCAATGTGGTTTTCGTCCTGGCTGTGGAACTGTGGACCAGCTCTATACCCTTGCAAGGGTGATGGAGGGGGCATGGGAGTTTGCCCAACCAATCCACATGTGTTTTGAGGATTTGGAGAAGGCTTATGACGGTGTCCCCAGGGGCACCCTGTGGGGGACGCTCCAGGAGTATGGGGTGGGTGGCTTTCTGTTAAGGGCCATTCAGTCCCTTTACCAGAGGAGCGTGAGTTTGGTCCTCATAAGTCGGACCTGTTCCCAGTGAGGGTTGGACTCTGCCAGGGCTGCCCTTTGTCACCGGTTCTGTTCATTACTTTTATGGACAGAATTTCTAGGCACAGCCGTGGTGTGGAGTGTGTCGAGTTTGGTGGCAGGAGAATCTCGTCTCTGCTTTTTGCGGATGATGTGGTCCTCCTAGCTTCATCCAGCTCTGACCTTCAGTGCTTGCTGGGTAGGTTTGCGGCCGAGTGTGAAGCGGCTGGGATGAGGATCAGCACCTCCAAATCTGAGACCATGGTTCTCGACTGGAAAAGGGTGGCTTGCCAACTCCGGGTCGGGAGAGAGGTCCTACCTCAAGTGGAGGAATTTATGTATCTTGTGGTCTTGTTCACGAGTGAGGGTAGGATGGATCGGGAGATCGACAGGCAGATTGGTTGAGCATCTGCAGTGATGTTGATGCTGAGCCGATCTGTCGTGGGGAAGAGGGAGCTGAGCCAGAACGCCAGGCTCTCGATTTACCGGTCGATCTACGTCCCAATCTTCACCTATGGTCATGAGCTTTGGGTAATGACCGAAAGAACGAGATCGCGAATACAAGCGGCCAAAATGAGTTTCCTCCGTAGGGTGGCCGGGCTCAGCCTTAGAGATAGGGTGAGGAGCTCGGACATTCGGGAGGTACTCGGAGTAGAACCGCTGCTCCTCCGGATCGAAAGGAGTAATTTGAGGTGGTTTGGGCATCTGGTCAGGATGCCTCCTGGATGCCTCCCTGGGGAGGTGTTTTGGGCATGTCCTGCCGGCAGGAGGCCCCCCGGTCGACCCAGGACACGTTGGAGAGGTTACATCTCCAATCTGGTCTAGGAACGCCTTGGGGTCCTGTCGGAGGAGCTGGTAGAGAAGGCCGGGGAGAGGACGGTCTGGAGCTCCCTAGTTGGGATGCTGCCCCTGCGACCCGGACCCGGGTAAGCGGAAGAAGACGACGACGACAACGAGAAACAAAATTTTGTGTTAGCTGTGTTTAGATTAGCTGTCAGATTAATAATCCTGTAAATCGGTTGTTCGAGAAGCTAAGCTTAATGTGATGCTTTAAGTGGAAATGAGTAAATGCCTCTTGAGGGGGGGGGGACTGGGAGACAGACTGACGCCCTGTCCACATGTAGCAGAATAGTCTCCCAAAGTGAAGATAATTTTTTATGAATTGGCCGGTCATCCACATGAAAACGATTTATGCAACAAAAACAAATCCTTTTTAAAATTCTGTTCAAAATGAAGATTTGCGTTTTCTCTGTTTTAAGCGTTTCTGAGTGGACTGAAATAACCAGAATTTTAGGTTTCACGATGTCACTGTCTGCGACAGAAATGCTGACGGCTATGTGCGACCTGTGTTTACGCTACAACGTGGATGCCCTCAGAGCTATGCTCATGTAATCAATCGTCCCAAACGGTTTTTTGTCTTTTAGCAGTTCAACTTCCTTATCAGTCCACACTAACAAGCTAGGCGCTATGCTTCATGTGTTGTTGAAATGGGTAGGATTCGGAGTACTTACTGCCACCTATAGGTCTGGCATACCTATGAATGTGCTTAATGCAGATTTGTGCCCAACTGGGCCTGATTTTGAGTGATGTAAGGTGGCCAGAAAGTGTGACAATAGTCCTGTTACGTTCATTAAAGGTTCCGGTACACTGAGGGGTAAAATTGTTACCAATGCTGCTTTTGAAGTACTGTCTTAAAGAGAACAAACAGTGGACCACATGTTTTCTACTTCCTCCTCCTGAGATAAATTTGTCTCCTCTGTAGAGCATTCAGTCCCAGATGGCCCAGTTCTAGATGACAGAATATGGGACTGGTTCAGATCTGGGGGATCCAGTAGGAGGAACAGTCTGAGACAGAGTCTGAAGAGCAGCGTCAAACAAATTTTTCCTGGACCAGAAACTTACGAAGACTTCTATGCTCCTGAGTAATGTCCTCTATTCATTTAGCTTATTTAGCTTGTTGTGATGTACCACCATGTTTAACTTGTTTGTTTGTTTTCTTTGTAGGTCCAACAGCGGAGGAGCTACTTCCGTCAAATCAGATTTTGTCTGAAAATGAAAGCGACATATGTTTTTACTCCATAAAAGCTTTTTTTACACATCAATCCGAATGCCTTCATTACACATTGAAAAACCAGTGTAAAACTGCTGCGTTTCAGTTCCACAAGTCACAAACAAGAATTTGTTTATTTTTTGGTAAATGTGGTAAACAATTTGTTTTTCTTACTTGAACATCTAATAAACGTATTTATTTGTTTACTTTGTTTGGCTTCCAACACTTTATCCTTTAGCAGTATAACTAGAGGGATGAGCCCAGATAAGAAAACGTTTTAAAAATTTGTATCCTTTTATAAAGTTCAGCAGAAGAGCCATGCCAATTTTTGACCAGCTCCTCCTCTCTCAGAAATCTTGGGTTTATGCACCATTACCTTAAAGAGCAAGTCACCCCCTACAAGAAACTTACTTCACTCCCTCTTCATGTTTGAAAAATGCAACAAATGCTGTTGCCTGGCAGACCGAGAGGGCGGAGCCGCAAACAAATACACACACACACACACACAGGCTCACAATGGTATTGTGACATCATAATGTACCAGCTAACATCATAGCATACCTCTTAGCCAATAGCGGCGGCAGATTTAAATTCAAATACAGTGCAGAATTTTTCCCTGTCGACGGCGCAACACTGACAGTTTTATGCAGAATATTTGAATTTAAACAAGATGCACTGAACTGCCAAATTATTGACTACACGTGTCTACAGCACAATTAGACACTCGTTTATATAGTTTATCAGCAAAAAAAAAAGTGATTTGGGGGTGTATGACTAATCCAAAGATGATTTTATTAGATCATCCAACCCTTCGTGAGGAGTGCTCTGATCCAATCGGAAGGCCTGGACCGCTCCTATCATAAATGCTGGCTTTGGCGTCACCCACCACCGCCTCACTACAACTGCAAATAGCACTATTAACATAAGTCAAGACTAGCAGAGAATGCCAACAACACTAGTTCCTAACATTAATTCTACAGCCATAACTGCTAGACACTTCAACCATAAAACACAGTGGGTTTCAGCTGCTTTTATTTTGAAAAGGGACACAGTAAAGGAGCCACTCACTGACCCCAGTAAAATTAAGCCTCTTTTTTTGCCAGTCTGTGAAATGAAGCAAGCTTCAAATCGAGGCTTCGTGACCCATCTTGCCTGCAGCACGCTCCTCTTTTGCCTGATTTGTTTACGCCCATGTCGAGATGTCCAGTCTGTAGCCGTTTTTACGCCATGGCGGCATCAGACAGCAATCTGCTCTCTAATAGCACTGATTGTTTTTGGTGAGTTGTCAAATGCCACAGGAGAGCCACTAAGAATGCACTCTGCAAACTGGTAAAGCAAAAGTGTAATAATGAATTTCATATGTAAATAAGAACTGGATTACATGCACATTCAATTAAAGTTTTGCTTTTTACAGGTATTCATTAGTTTAACAAGTTGTATATGACATACAATATTGAATTGACACTTTAAGTACCAAAAATTTTTTCATGTTACACTCATTCAATGTGTGATTTACAGCTTATTTTTTTAAGGCTAAAAATTCAAACAACTTTTTATGGTTTTTTGTGTGCCATTTTTGGGGTGTTTATGAATGTGGAAGAGACCCGGCATCCTGTGATGAACTAATAACATCAAGAGATAATAAAGTAATATTTAGGTAAATTTAACCCTTTACACGTGGCCAGGACACTGTAATCAATTTTTGGCAAGGGAAATGATCATTTTTTGCCATTTTTGGGGTGTTTATGATGACACAGTAGACAGTATGAGTACAATAACATCAACAGATAATACATAAAACCCTTATTTTGTCAATTTTAGCCTCCATGAAAATCTAAGCGATTCAATCACTTTTTGGCAAGTAAAATGCCATTTTAGTTGTCTACAATTAAATCACCAATAAAGAATTTAAAGATATTTTGAGGTGTTTCTTATAGGTAAATAGGAGGGTGTAGTCACTATTTGGCAAGTGACAATCTTAATTGTCTGTGCTGAAGTGCTTTTATCTTGTTACTTTTAAATAGAGCAACGTAATGTATAGATAGTAACCTACACAGTGTCATTGTAAAGCCAAAGTTTGATCAGTTTAAATACTATTTTTCAAGTAAAAATGTGCCCCGAACTAGTTAACTGTGGCTCCATGTCAAGTGGACTAAAGAAAGGAAGGGGAAAAAATCAAATAGCTGGAGAATTGTTTATTTTCATTTATACAACGTTTGACTTTACATTCAATACAGTGTGCCATTTTACACTGATTATTTTCAAGGCTGTAACATAAAGAAAGCCAGTTCTTACCACAAACAATCGCAAATATTGCAAAAATGATTAATATATCCTCATTGTGAACGTTTAAGACAAATAGCAACACTTAAAACAACTTTCGAACTGGAAAAACTAATATCCGCGATAAACATCTGTTTAAGTAACGGAAGAGGTTATCTCTGCTTTCTCAATGTCCATGTTGCTAGATATGCTGAGTTTTAAGGCATTTCGTCTAGAAATGCAATCACCCTAACCGTGCGCGATCCCGCGGTGGCTAATCAGTTTTTGGCAGCCAGTCGATTTATGGCACAACACCGGTCAGAGCTTGGCAGTAACTCCCCATGTGATCATGACATGTCCGTCTGTTGTGCCAAGGCGCAATCACCATTTATAAGACAGACAGCTACAGCAATATTACCACCAAGTGAGACAGAACGAATGCTGCAAAACTTGTGCAATGCCATGCCGGCATGGCGTGTTTATAAGACACATTGTTGTGGTAATATTACGCCGAGGAATAAAGGCAAAGACCCAGGTTAGTAATTTTGGTGTCGTAATTTATTCAGACCTGAGCTTCACTGGTCACATTAGGGCTATAACTAATTCAGCGTATTTATCATCTTCATCAAATAGCACGATTCAGAGGTCCAGACAGGACCTAGAGAAACTCATTCACGTGTTCATCTACAACTGGCTGGACTATTACAACGGTCTTTTGATTTGTCTTCCCAAAAAAGCTGCGAACAGCAGCTTATTCAGAATGTTGCTGCTAGAGTCTTAACAAGAACCAAGAGAACCGAACACATCACTCCTGTTCTTAAATCTCCACACTGGTTACCAGTGAACTACAGATTTGTTTTCTAAGTGCTTCTACTAGTTTATAAATCACTCAGTGATATAGGACCAAAATACATGTTGGATCTCCTTCAAGTATATACGTCCAGCAGGGCTCGGAGACCCTTAGAAAACAGTCAGTAGAACTCCAGTAAATTTCCCTCCTCTGAATAATCTCTGAAGATTAGCAACATGGGGGTCACACATGAGCTGAAAACAAAGATTGTTCACCTTCAAGGTTTAGGGGAAGGATCCAGAAAGCTCCCTGTTTCCACAGTTAAGAACATATGGAGGAAATGGAAGACCACCGGCACAGTTCAGGTTAAGGCTCCAAGTGGCAGAGCATGAAAACTCTCAGATAAACAGAAGTGAAGAATGGTGAGAAGAGTCAGAGTCAACCACAGACCAGCAGCAAAGACCTACAACATCATCTTGCTGCAGATGGAGTCACTGTGCATCACTCAACTATTCAGCGCACTTTACACAAGGAGATGCTGTATTGCAGGCATTCTGAACCACCTGTCTACGGTTCAGGGAGGTTTTCCTCAGACAAGTGAAAAGAGAGTTGCAGTAGTCTAAGTGTGAGGAGACGAAGAACAGTCTCAAGTTCAGAGTGGGACTGTATAGGACTCAGCTGATGATTGGTTTAATGGTGTCTGTGGTGGTTCTTGTCCCACTTAAGTACCACCTGAGTCTGGCTTAATCGCCTATTGTTTCTGACCATGTCCATCCCTTTATGACCACATGGACCCATCTTCTGGTGACTACTTTCAGCAGGATGCTGTGACAAATCATCTGTGGTTTCTACATAGAACATGACCATGGCTTCACTGGACTCCAGAAGTCCAGTCCAGAACCTTTAGGAGTTAGTGGAAAAGGAGGTTTTCATCATTGATGGAGATGTTCCTGGTATGTTGTCATGGATTTTATCAATACTGTAACAATTACATTTACATATTATTTAATGAACCATAAAATATGAGATTCCATAGGAACTCATCATCGTCGTCTTCCTCCGCTTATCTGGGTCCGGGTCGCGGGGGCAGCATCCCAACTAGGGAGCTCCAGACCGTTCTCTCCCCGGCCTTCTCCACCAGCTCCTCCGGCAGGACCCCAAGGCATTCCCAGACCAGATTGGAGATGTAACCTCTCCAACGTGTCCTGGGTCGACCTGGGGGCCTCCTGCTGGCAGGACATGCCCGAAACACCTCCCCAGGGAGGCGTCCAGGAGGCATCCTGACCAGATGCCCAAACCACCTCAACTGACTCCTTTCGATCCGGAGGAGCAGGGGTTCTACTTCGAGTCCCTCCCGAATGTCCGAGCTCCTCACCCTATCTCTAAGGCTGAGCCCGGCCACCCTACGGAGGAAACTCATTTTGGCCGCTTGTATCCGCGATCTCGTTCTTTCGGTCTTTACCCAAAGCTCATGACCATAGGTGAGGATTGGGACGTAGATCGACCGGTAAATCGAGAGCCTGGCTTTCTGGCTCAGCTCCCTCTTCACCACGACAGATCAGCTCAGCGTCCGCATCACTGCAGACGCCGAACCAATCCGCCTGTCGATCTCCCGATCTCTCCTACCCTCACTCGTGAACAAGACCCTGAGATACTTAAAGAGCAAGTCACCCCCTACATGAAACTTACTTCACTCCCACTCCATGTTTGAAAAATGCAACAAATGCTGTTGCTTGGCAGACCGAGAGGGCGGAGCCGCTAACAAATATACACACACACACACACACACACACACACACACACACACAGGCTCACAATGGCATTATGACATCATAATATACCAGATAACATCATAGCATACCTCTTAACCAATAGCGGTGGCAGATTTAAATTAAAATACAGAGCAGAATTTTTCCCTGACAACGGCGCAACACTGACAGTTTTAGGCAGAATATTTGAATTTTAACCAAGATGCACTGAACTGCCAAATTATTGACTACACGTGTCTACAGCACAATTAGACACTCGTTTATATTGTTAATCCGCAAAAACAACATGTGATTTGGGGGTGACTTGCTCTTTAAACTCCTCCACTTGAGGTAGGACCTCTCCCCCGACCAGGAGTTGGCAAGCCACCCTTTTCCGGTCGAGAACCATGGTCTCAGATTTGGAGGTGCTGATCCTCATCCCAGCCGCTTCACACTCGGCCGCGAACCTACCCAGCAAGAGCTGAAGGTCAGAGCTGGACGAAGCTAGGAGGACCACATCATCCGCAAAAAGCAGAGACGAGATTCTCCTGCCACCAAACTCGACACACTCCACACCACGGCTGCGCCTGGAAATTTTGTCCATAAAGGTAATGAACAGAACCTGTGACAATAGGTGATAGGAACTATGAAATTAATTATATGGATCTTTGGATAATTTAAACCAGAAGATTGGAACTTTTTATTGCAGGGATTATGTAACCACTTCGTATTAACTCAGAGACAACAGAAAGAGAGTCAAGTTTTAAAAGTTTAAAGATTTATTACTAAACAAATGAAAAATAGACTAACTTTAAACACTAAATGTATGGTGTTATAAGGTGAAGGGAGACGGAGAATGGTGTAGTGTGGAATGTTGCTTAGAACCAGCAAATCCGGAGAAACAATTAGTTCTGATGGGAGTGAAGGTGATGTCTTCGTGCTAAGCTTTGATTTGGAGATTCATAACACACATTGAGACGCCATTCTGCCGTCCTACGTGCCCTTTCGGAAGTCCCCGTTAGATCAGGAATGTCGAGGTCCAGCTTGACCTCCTCTGGAACCGAAGCCGGTAGGAAAAGCAGCGGTTGCCGACCAAACCAGTCTTGAGATACTTCCGGGTCACGACAGTTTTATTGGCATCTAGCAAGACCCCAAAAGGGAGTCGTGATGGTTCAGCTTTTATTCTGAAAGGAACCGTTGCAGCAGGTGGAACAGCAACAGATTTTATCCAGCTTGTCGTTAGGTTCTTTCAGCTGAAGAGGAGAGTTACGGATTGGTCACTCCGACAACTTCTCTAGAAAGCTCTGAACTCGAGTTTAAGATGGCGTGGGCATAGTTTTATAATTTGAGAGAGAGAGAGAGAGAGAGAGAGTGGGTGAGTGTGTGTGTGTGTGTGTGTGTGTGTGTGTGTGTGTGTGTGTGTGTGTGTGTGTGTGTGTGTGTGTGTGTGTGTGTGTGTGTGTGTGTGTGTGTGTGTGTGTGTGTGTGTGTGAATGCTTTCAGGACATTCAGCCAGCAGATCTGTTAATAGGATCAAAGTAATGAAATATGAGATTTCCATAACATATGTCATTATGGAGCAGAACCTCTGAGGAACATGTACAACACCTGGCTGGATCTAGAACAAAAAGAATAAAGGTTGTTTTGAAGGCCAAATGAGGTCAAACCAGGTTTTAGCAGTTGTTACTAACAAAACAGGCTAAACCTCCACTTCTTCTCTTTAAAGGTGCATTATGTAGAAATGAAGTAAAAATGACATCCTGTGGTAAAATGTGGTTACTGAAACCACTTTAAACAACTCTGGAGTTTTTTGCCGGCTGTCATCAAATTACAATTACAGCGCTGAAGCATTAGCTCGCAGGAGACTCGACACCCCCACACTCACTGATGGTTAACAGTAGTTACGTCCCTCCTTCCTTTGTTTGGAAAGGAGAAAAACTGACAATCCAGCAGCCAGCTGGACATGAAATACGTTTCAGTAGAACCTTCCTGTAAAATTCTCACTATATTCTTACATACTGCACCTTTAAACTCAGATATGATGAGTGAATCCTTTACATAGATCAATTTGAACATGTGGAACTGAAAGAATGGGTTCAGTCTGAAACTTTCTCCAAGAAACAGGTCCAGACATGACTTGTTGGGCAAAGAACCAGATCATTTAAAAGAAAGTTTAATGAAAGGATGCAAACTTTTACATTCAGTGACTTGTTATATTTCATGTGTTCAACATAAATAAATGGCTGAAAAGGTCTGGCTGTTGGCCGAACTGGAATGCACAAAAAGGTATTAAGTGAACCTTTAATTTTCTTAACATTCTGAAACACTTTGCTCTTTTCAGCAGGAAGTGGTGAAGCTGCAGGAAACGACATTATGCTCAGTCAGTTTTCATCCAGACACCATGAAGCTCCGGTCCATCTGTCTGCTGCTCGGTGAGTCCAGCAAGAACCTCGGATGTTTGGTTTATGTGCCGAACTGGAATTAGAATAATCTGACATTTTACAATACTAATATAAAAACAACTAAAGGGACATTTGGATTGTAAAACTGTTGGAAAATCAAAAACTGCATTCCATTTCAAAAACCTAACAGTTTAAACAATTCAGAGGAATGAAATGGAAATCAATCCTGTTTAATAAAACCGTTTATCTTATGGTTAAATTATCTGTTGGTGGGGAGTTTCAGCTATTTTAGAAAACAAATAGTGTCTGAATGTGCCTGAAGATCAGGAGAAACAATAATAACTTCATAACCTTACACAATGATCAAAAGTCTTCACACATTCTGCTGTTTTTCTGTTGTTTTTAGTTCTCTAAGATGAAGCTTGATGGTCAGTCCCAGCTGAAGTGTGCTCTTAATATAACAGTGACAAATCAAGTCGTCATCTCTTATGTTACAGGTGTGTCTATCCAACTGCTGTCAGGAAGACATGTTTCTGCAGGTAAAATGATCAACGTTTTCATATGCAGCGTTGATAATCTACATAACTAGAATTTTAGCTGTTGCTATTCAGCTTTGTTAAATTCTGAGAAAGATCAAACGAGATGGTAATAAAACTTATATTATATTATATATATCCACAGATATTTATATAATCGAAAGAAGTTCATACACCGACTGGCTTGGTCAGTCGGTGTATGAACTTTTAATCAAAAGATTAATATTTAATTTAAGAGATTTAAATTCATAGCAAAAGTTTATTTATTAATTCAGAAGACCTAAAGAGATCTTTGCTCGTTCAGTGACCAAATATACACCACTCTGTGTTTTATTCCAAAAAGAGTCAGGTTTAAAAAGTCAAGAATTTATTACTAACAATTTAAAGATGACAATTTAAAAGACAATTTATAAAAGCTTTGGTATTAAACTTGGTATTGAAGCAATCTGTGTCTGGATGAAACTAAAAATGAAGTGTGTGTGTTTGGATGTGTGAATGTAGGTCTCTGAAGGTTTTTATCTTAGAGAGAGAAAAACGCGTTCTCGGTGGTAGAATTTGGTTTGCAGCTAAGCTAAATTATTTCTTAAAAGAGCAGGCATTCAGACGCAATCTGTGTTCTACCTCACCGTTCAGACGACCCTCTGTTCGAATCCGGAGGTCAAGGGAGGACGTTGATCGGCCTCTGTGTACTCGGTCCGGTAGGGTAGACCAGTGGCACCGACTCTCTGGTCCTAGAGTTGCCGCGGGCACACAGGAGGATGGTTTGCGTCTTAAAATTAACTCTGAAGGAGTTTTGCGTCAGCTTGTGTTGCAGATGGCGTTTCTGTTGAAGCAATTCTATCGGCGTGACAGAAAAGCTTTAGTAGAGGTTTCGAGTGGCCGACCCGATCCTCTGGACTCTCGTTCCCACTGAGAGAATTTTGGTGAGCTCAAGAACTGAACGTGAACTGAGGAGTTTAGGTTTTAAGAGACGGCCGGTAATCTTATTCTAACGAATTAGATTTTTACATGTTAGAGGGTAGGACTTAACATACCTCAGAACACGCCCTCCCAGAGATAGAAAGCTCTGGTGTTATGGGACAAAGACATGTGAATGCAGTTACCTTTAACCTGATTTCTGTGTCCTGCATGGTGTGTATAAGTGCACATGATCTTCTTGTCACTGTTAAACATGACTGATTATCATAAATAATAATTATTATTAACCAAAGAATAATAATTCATTTCTGTAATTAAATACATTTATAATGAACCTTGATGATTATTTATGAACCTTGTAATAGACAGTGAAAAGAGTTTATTAAAAATGATTCTTTTAAATCTTGAAGTGTCCTTCGTCTTGCGGATGGAACAGCAGTCAGATTAAAGAAGGTTTACAGCAGACTTTGCTTCTCCTGTGATGGATAATCTGTAGATAGAATTACAGCCAGGACAGCTTGACCCAGCTGAGGAAGTGTGACCTTTGGGTCACAAATGAGGCCATTCATGTCGCTACACATATAAACTTGGAACAAAAAAGGAGGACATTTTACCTGGAAAACAATGGAAAAATGAAACAAATGTAAAGTAAAAAGTATTGGACCAAGCACAGAACCATGAGGAACTCCATGACTAATTCAAAATCAGATAAATTAGATAAGATGAATATGATATCTCATGTTTCAGTTTTTGGATTAGGATACTGGGTCAAAAAAAGCATTGAGCTTTCAGAACCTGTTTAGAGACCAGTTCTGTCAGCGTCTGTGATAAATGAGTCATTTCCACCGAGGGCGAGCTCTAACTCCTGACTGAAACTCTTCTAACTGATCGTTTCTGTTAGAAAATATAGCACCAACCCTTGTGGGATCAGCTGATCAACACATTTCAGAACTTCTGGACATTTCAAAACATTTTAGCTTCAAAAGAATGCAAAATATTGAGAGCTACTTACAGTTGTGGTCAGAAGTTTACATACACTTGTAAAAAATATAATATAATGGCTCTACTGAGTGTCCCGTTATTTCTAAAACTCTGATTTTTCTCTGATAGAGTGATTGGAACAGATACTTCTTTGTCACAAAAAACATTCATGAAGTTTGGTTCTTTAATGTCTTTATTATGGGTTAACAGAGAAAAGTGATCACATATGCTGGGTCACAAATATACATACAGCAGTGCTAATATTTGGTTACATGTCCCTTAGCCATTTTCACTTCAATTAGGCGCTTTTGGTAGCCATCCACAAGCTTCTGGCAAGCTTCTGGTTGAATCTTTGACCACTCCTCTTGACAGAATTGGTGAAGGTCAGTTAAATTTGATGGCTTTCTGACATGGACTTGTTCCTTCAGCACTGTCCACATGTTTTCAATGGGGTTTAAGTCAGGACTTTGGGAAGGCCATTCTAAAACCTTTATTCTAGCCTGATTTAGCCATTCCTTTACCACTTTTGATGTGTGTTTGGGGTCATTGTCCTGTTGGAACACCCAACTGCGCCCAAGACCCAACCTTCGTGCTGATGATTTGAGGTTATGTTGAAGAATGTGAAGGTAATCCTCCTTCTTCATTATCCCATTTACTCTCTGTAAAGCACCAGTTCCATTGGCAGCAAAACAGCCCCACAGCATAATATTCCCACCACCATGCTTGACTGTAGGCATGGTGTTCTTGGGGTTAAAGGCCTCGCCTTTTCTCCTCCAAACATATTGCTGGGTATTGTGGCCAAAAAGCTCGATTTTTGTTTCTTCTGACCACAGAACTTTCCTCCAGAAGGTCTTATCTTTGTCCATGTGATCAGCAGCAAACTTCAGTCGAGCCTTAAGGTGCCGCTTTTGGAGCAAGGGCTTCCTTCTTGCATGGCAGCCTCTCAGTCCATGGAGATGCAAAACACGTTTGACTATGGACAATGACACCTGTGTTCCAGCAGCTTCTAATTCTTGGCAGATCTGCTTTTTGGTGATTCTTGGTTCACTCTTTACCCTCCTGACCAATTTTCTCTCAGCAGCAGGTGATAGCTTGCGTTTTCTTCCTGATCTTGGCAGTGATGAAACAGTGCCATGCACCTTATACTAACAAACAATTGTTTGCACTGTTGCTCTTGGGACCTGCAGCTGCTTTGAAATGGCCCCAAGTGACTTTCCTGACTTGTTCAAGTCAATAATTCGCTTTTTCAGATCCATGCTGAGCTCCTTTGACTTTCCCATTGTAGCGTTTGTGGGCGTTTGTATCCAATGAGCCCTATTTACCTGGCCTAAGAGAAGTCACCCGCTGTAGTCACTCATAATCACTCACAAGAAGTTAAGAGGCCATGCTATGAAGCTCAGTTCACTGACACGTTTCTAAGTCACCAAAATTGCTAGTTCATGTTGCTGTATGTATATTTGTGACCCAGCAAATGTGATCACTTTTCTCTGTAAACCCATAACAAAGACATTAAAGAACCAAACTTCATGAATGTTTTTTGTGACAAAGAAGTATCTGTTCCAATCACTCTATCAGAGAAAAATCAGAGTTTTAGAAATAACGGGACACTCAGTAGAGCCATTATATTATATTTCTTACAAGTGTATGTAAACTTCTGACCACAACTGTATATGCAACAACTTCTCCTTCTCCAGTGTCTCTGAACGTGAGTCCAAACCTTCAGCAGTTCTTCAGTGGACAGTCGGTGTCTCTGAGTTGTCTCGGACAGGGACAAGAACCTGGATGGACCAGGAGGATGTCCAAAGGAAGACAGACTGAGCAATGTGGAGCAGCTGGTTCAGATTTTGGTGTTTTTAATGAGTCCTCTTGTGTTCTGGACCTCTTGTCTTCCTACACTGGAGTTTACTGGTGTGAAACCAGTTCAGGACAGAAGAGCGAGCAGATCAACATCACTGTAACCCGTAAAGAAGGTACCAGGTCTGGTTCTGATGGATGTTCTGTGGTTGAGCTGTTTTCATATTTATGTGTTCATGTTTCTGATCAGACAGTGTTTTGATTCTGGAGATCCCTGCACTTCCTGTGAGCACAGGAAGTGACATCACTCTGCGTTGTCGACACAAAGATGGCTCTCTCCATGCAGCCTACTTTTACAAAAACAATGACATCATTGGGAATGCTGTCAAAACTCTAAGCACAGCCATTCACGGAGCCCAGCCGTCAGATGAAGGGTTCTACTCGTGTTCGACTGATAAGTCTGGATCGTCTCCTCAGAGCTTCCTGAGAGTCAAAGGTCAAGCTGTGTTCTACTTCCTGTTAAACATGTTAACTCAACTGCTGCTGAAGAAGCTCCTGTTTTCTTTCCTACAGATCCTCCTGTGCCTCACACCATCACAACCTCCCCTCCATCAGCCTCTGCTACTCCTCATCCTTCGGATATTCCTCCTCCTATCTCTGTTCTGCATCTCCTCTGCCACCTGCTGGCCATCTGTCCATACTGCGTCTGCAGCATCCTGTTGCTGTCAATCTGCTGTAGAATGAACTCAGGCAGGTACACACACACACACACACACACACACACACACACACACACACACACACACACACACAAAGAGGCTAATTTCAACACACCATGACCTCTGGTAACTCCACAGGAAGCTGGCCTGCCGTCTCCATGGAGACCACCCATCTCGACGAAGAGCGAGGTGATGTCACTGCGGGCATCACCACCGAGCACGACTTCTGAAGGCAGCTGATTCTGACTGATGTTACTTTTTATAACAATTCTGTAAACCGTTGAATTTCAATCAATCAGTCAATCAATCAATCAATCAATTCAAAGATTCTTTATTAATCCCAGAGGGAAATGAGAGTTTCAGTACACACAATTCATAGATCAGACATACATGGGCAAGACACACGACAAGAATTGGTGACTGTGGTCATTCGCAACCCTGAGTCGCGCTACCTCAATGCAGATAAGAGGGTTACATGAGGATTGGTTCAGGTGGAGGGAAACAAAGGCACTTCAGAGTTACCCTCCACCAGGAGGGCAGCTTTGCTCTGCAAAAAAACACCTCAGACAGAAATGCAACAGACTTCAGACATCACAACATAAGTGTCCACTAGGTGGGGTGGTGGGTTGGGACTATCCCCACTTCAGTTCCTGCAGCCACGATAAGCAGCGCATGTCACCTCAGTGTGGATAGGGGGAGGAGCATTGAGGGTTGGAGGGTTGCAGTGAACCTGGAACGTTTCAGCAGCCTTCCCGCAGTCCCGCCTAGGCTGGGAAAGGAGACAGAGTTGAGTTGCCATAGCGACGGCACATTCCACATATCTTCTGAGCGGGAGTTTTCGTTGGAGCCTTGCAGGCTCAAGGGCGCCAGATTCCGTTTAGAAATTGTTTTGGGGCCAGACAGAGATAATTTCCTCTCTGTCTTACAGTTTGTTGGTCCTCAACCTCTCAAAATCCCAATAATGGACATTAAACTATCCCAATCCGTGCTGATTCGTCCACTCTCTCCTTGATGGCATCCATCTTTTGTGCCAATGAATGAATCTCTGCCAAAGTTCCAAGCTTACGATTCATCTCAACAGTTATGTGAGTCTGTGAATTCACAGCGCGGTGCAATCCGTCTCTGAGCTCCGGGAGCAGGCCAATATTCCTCGACAGCTCGTTAATTTTCCGGTAAGCCTCCAAGGCCAATGAGCAAGAAACCTGACACCAACACCACGAATATCCACACGTCTTCAGAGTCCTCCACAGACAGCTGAGATAAACAAATCAAGTTCCACTGTTTCCAGGAGTCCATGATGTGTCCAAACTGGGTCTGTCCCGGCAGGGCATCCGGGAGCCCCTTCTCCCGTTCTCATCGTTGAAAAAATTTTATCAATCGCATTGAGAAACCAACTGAAGAGATCCATTTTAGTGAATTTCAGTTTCCAGTGTCCAGAAAAATGCAGAAGCAGCCGTGCACCCAGCACACAGAGACAGACAAAGGGCCTCAAGGATAAGATATGGAGGAGAGGAGGAAAAAGGCGTCTGCACCCTCCAAGAGCCGGAAGAAGAATGGGACAAATTCCATGCTGTCGGTCTTTTTTAAAACACAGAAACGGTTCCGTTACCTGTTTTTTCGCTATGTTTCGTCCGCGGCTGCAGACTTCCTCGGGAAGTCAACTGGCTGGTACATGTAACCATTAACTCAGTGTCGTGCCCATCAAAATAAATATTTGATTATTTTTTATTAATATGTTGCTTTCAACGGAAATACTCTACCTTCATTCTGCACACCTCTAAGATTGTTATGAAATTGTTTCATATTCAGCCTTTAACCACGATAGATCAATTATACCCACACTAGTTTGGTATGAACAACAATTGTTCCATATTCAGTCTTAAAATTTGCCCGCAGGAGAGTGAAAGTCTCAGTGACCTGATCAGATCAGGACTGTTTACATTTTAATGCTAAAACAAATTAGCATGATAAACAACACATCGCATTAAAGCCCCCCTCAACTTACCCATGCCCTATAAATATATAGTTTCTACCAGCGATGGAAAGAGTACTAAAATTTCCTACTTAAGTACAAGTACCAATACTTTGATGAATTTTTACCCAAGTATGAGCATGCGGACCATCAGCACCGGTTCCCCTCAGGGCTGTGTTCTCTCCCCCCTGCTCTTCTCCCTGTACACCAAGCCCCCACAATGCGGCTCAAAAACTGAGGCCAACCCGGAAATACCAAAACTTGCAGTTCCACACTCATCCACTAGGGGCTGGTGTCAGAAGCGAGCAAATCCTCATTGACTCCCATGTTAAAAATACCATTTTCACAGCAGAAATAAACATGTTTACAGCCTGGTTCCAAAACACGTTTTTGGTTTAAATGATCTAGTTTACACTCATGACAACTCTGAGGGGGGTGAATTTTTCCTCACTCTTCTGTTTAAGTGTATTAAAAGCCTAAAATTCTGTATAATTAATGAGCACCAGACCCACGTGACCACAGAGCTAGCTCAGTGGAAAGGCCTCAGTAGAGCCTCTGTCTGGCCTGGAAACTGTTCCGGGATTTTGAGTCTCTGTGTTTGTGTATTCCTTTTTGGATATTTTTGGATATTTTTTGTGCAATTGTTGGACAAATGAATAAACATAAACATAAAATGACTTGCTGTGGCATTAATTGCACTAATAGAGCATCCAAGGAATCTCCACTTCATTTTTTTCGGTAAGTAAAATTATATTTATGTATTTTAGGTCGCTGCCGAGCTGAGCTTAGATTTTAACATGTACTGTTTAACCATGAAATTTAAATGTAATAGGGTAAAACCCAGTGCATTTAACATAATGCTGCACTTTAGAAAATGGGTTGAAATATAACATGTTGGTGGAGCTGGGTTCCGACTATCGGCTTGTGGAGCTCTCGGGAGACCGATGTTTTCCACCCGTTCTCCCCTCCCCGCAGCTCGGCACATCTCTGTCTGATCGCGGCTTCTGTCTGCTGCGCGGGCTGCTGGCTTGTGGAGGTCTCGGAGACCTCTGTGTTCTACCCGGTTTTACCCAGCGGTCAGCCCAGCGTATCTCTGACTCAGAAGCTCTGGTGTTGTGCACAGTTACATATGTCGATGCTGTACACCAACAGCTGCACCTCCAACCACGAGTCTGTCAAGCTAATCAAGTTTGCAGACGACACCACCGTCAGTGGACTTATCTCAGACGGGTATGAGTCTGCCTACAGAATGGAGGTTGAACGGCTGGTGTCCTAGTGCAGCCACAACAACCTGAGTCCTCATTTATCAACCGTACTTACGAACAGATCTGTGCGTAGGATCGATATTATGCATTGTGTGGTATTTACCAGTTTGTACATGTGCGTGAAAATGTTCCTAATTATAAGAACAGCTCTGACCATGTGTAGGAACAGCATCTAGTGGTAGAACGGGGGAACCGCAGTAGTTAAGGCCTCAGTCATCCACACATGTTCCCCATCCACAAATTATTTTAGTCAATAAATAATTACAGTGTGTTGGTGGAAAAACGGCTTTTTTGCATAACTGGTGCTAAAACCAATAAAAGACTCTTGTGACCGATGGGAATCTGACATCATGGCAGTTCTGTGTTATTGGAGGATTTAACAGAGCATGCACTCTGGAGGGAACACGTTCTCCATGAGCGCACTGATCTCAAAGGAAATCCATCTGCTATAATTTGATTTGGGAGCAGATAAACCTTGCAAATCCGATCCCAGTTCATATTTTGTTTTACAATTACGAGAACCCCCCCAGAACCTCCACTGCTCCCTGTTCATACACGACGCGTTGCCAAGGTAACTCCTCCTTCTTACCAACCCATTACTCCACGCATGGACGTAATTTTCACTTTAGAAGTGGGGGGGGGGGGGGGGGGGACACGGGGGGGTGTATCTTTACAGTATGCTCTAATGGGAAACAGGCTTCAACACAAAAAGTTGTTTTCCGCTTGGCCATAGAGCTCAACCAGTGTCAATTTAATATAGCGTAATGTTGTCTTTGGACGGTAAAAAGTGCAGGGGTCAAAACTTGACTTTGGAAAAAGTGGGGGGGACATGTCCCCCCCCCCCCCCCCCAAATTACGTCCATGACTCCACGAAACATCATATCCATTCTTATATTTATTCCTGACGAGAACCTCTCCTCTGTCCCGACCGTGTTTATAACCTCTGCAACTGGATGTCCCAATACAACTTTTTCACTTCCGATACGATACAGATATTGCAGCCTTCAGTATTGACCGTTACCGATATCAGTCTGATACAATATCAGCACAAATTATACCTACTTTTACTTATTTCATAGTGTGGAATGTATGTAAGGCTTGATCAAGTGATTTTACTCAATCGGAAAACAAGAGCCAATAACAGTAAGTATAAAAATATGACATTTTTTTCTTAACCATTGGTTGCAAAAATGTGAACCTTAACAGACTGCTTATATCTGAGATTTTTAATGCCGTCCGATATAATCTGATACACTGTTTTTGGGCCGATTTCGAATTACTTCCGATGTCGATATCGGAACAGGACATCCCTACTTGGTTCTTTTGCGTTTTGGCAGCCAGTCAGTAGATCTTGCTGTCATTTAAGTTTTTCTTATTTTTCAGGGAAAGAAACGGAATCCCCTCAAGTACTGAGGAAGTAGCGTAACCAAATATGGTTAATTGAGGGTGTTTCTGTATGTAAATGACTGAGAACGAACACGAGCACTTAGGTGAGATTTATCATCAGACGATTGCAGAACATGCATTCAAGAGGTGACCGCATATTTCAGGATCAGGCTTTTGATATTTTGTACGAACGTTGTAAATTTCATTCGTAGAAGCAATACGTATAGGACAGTTTCTTCGAACATTTGATAAATGAGGACCCAGGCGCTAAATGCACAGAAGACAGCAGAGGTTGTCAGCTCCGTCATAAAAAAGGCCCAACAGAGGATGAACTTCCTGAGGCAGCTGAAGAAAGTCGACCTACCAGTATAGTCGATGAGGCAGCTCTACACCGCAGTCACTGAGTCCATCACCTCTTCAATCACTGTGTGGTATGGAGCTACCATCAGGGATGTGAAGATGCTGCAGCATGTTGTACGCTCTGCTGAGATCATCGTCTTTCATAAGGGGTCTGTGGGCTGCACTTTGTCTGATCCCTCACCTAGAACATGTTTGCCATGGGTGACCCTACCAGAGGCATAAAGCCTCAGACGACCAGCTCCTAGGATCATTGGGACACTCAACCCCTTCCACCATCGTAGGGTGGCAGCCCAGGGAGGGGAAGTAAACATCTGTTGAGTGTTGTAACATAAAATTGTTTGATAGTGTTGCTTTGGAAAGCCAAATCTCGTGGGTCCACCAGACCCATGAACACTGGCTGAGTTACAAAAAGACAACGCCACACAAGGGAAGAATAGTCAAACGAGTCCAGATCATATTTAGTAGGTGGAAGAACCAAATAAAAAGTTTTATTAAACTTTTATATGAATAATACGGATTTAAATCAAGGTCACAAATTTTTCTACCTATAAAAAATGATGATCAGCATGTTATTTACTAGATGAGGGTCTTTATTAAAGTCAGATGAGCAGGTAAAAGAGAGAAATTCATAATTAAAGTATTCATGCATTTTTTATTGAAAAAAAATCTAAATATTGAATGTGAGGGACTACGGTCTGTCCCTAAAGGTGTGAACCAGCTGAATTGAATGAGTGTGATCATGTTTGTCTTAGGGTCTGTTTACTTTTCCAACTGATTTTCAGTCATTCACTTTTTTTAATCAGCTCACCTGTTACCTCTCATCCTGGCTTCTGTATTGGTCTTTGTTAGCTTGTGCTAATAAAACCACATGGACTTGGACTTCCTGTCTCCTGATGCTCATCCATGTGCACCTTGGATCCAAATGTTGCCTCAGAGGTGAACACATCACTCTCTGCTCCGATAAACTGTTTGACACTAAAAAAAACAAGTTAACATTTTCCAGTTTCCCATGTTTACTGAACTAATGGGGACAAAATACTTTAGTTTTATTGTCACTGTGGAGTAAAGACTTAAGTCTACAGGAAATGGCCAAAAATCATAACAATGAAACCTGCATCAAGTTATACCTCAGAACCTGCCGTATCCATGGAGACCAACCTGAGCTCACAGCTGTTTAGAACATGTCCCGCTGAGCTGAACACCGGAAACCTCCAGCAGGCTGAAGCTGCTGGGTGTCACAGATGAGATGTTTCTTATTCAACGCCGCAAAGAAGCACAAGTTACTAGTGGCCCATCAGAAGAACCGGTACCAGAACTGTGATCTGGACCAGAATCAAACAGGAACATTTTAATAATGCAAATAAAATCTCTTTCGGACAGGTTCAGCTCAGACGTTTAAGCAGTTTAATCCAGAAACGAACCATAAATAATCCTAATCTGTTTCATGTGTGGATTCAGAAAACAACAGATAAAACCTTTGGGACCTACGTGCAAACCCAGCAATGCCCGACGCTTTAAAAGAAAAGAATCTGAAGGTTTGAAACAAAGTTTATTTTTATTTAACCACATAGAAAAGTCCAACGCAGACATGCTTGTTCTGTACAGCAGTGTTCGACCACATAAACACAGGAAACTTAAGGCACTGCAGAGATTATGAAGGTCTAAGAAAAGGAAACCAGCAGCACAAAATCATCCAACAGCATTAAATAAAACCCGAGCTCCTGGCTGCTGATCTGGGATCAGATTCCTGGCTTCAGGCCTTCCAGTGACAGGAGCTCCTCGTTCACGGAGCCAAAACCCACCCTGGAGTTTCCCAGGACTCGCTCCCAGACGTTCACACGTGGTTCTCGGATCATAACCTGGTCAGAGATCTAGCCCCGCCCACTGAGCTCCAGGTTGTTTTTACATTCAATAGTTCAGAAATGTAAACCAGAAAATTGACGCAGAGTAAAAAACAAAAACAGAAGATAGTGTTTGCTTTCCAGAAAATCAGGCATTTGGGAAAAAAAGATCATCTTCGTTTGTTCTCTTTTGGCTAATAGCCCCTCTCACGGCCCCGTCCCCTATGGGACGAGTTAAACTGAACATAGTTAAGCCCCGCCCCAACCTCTCCATGACGTCTCCTCTGTGCCCCCCTCCCTGCATCGTAGCCGCCCCTCCCTCTTCCCCCCCGTCCTCGGTATGGCTTCCTCCCAGAGTAGCTCATAGTGAACCCCTCCGCCTCCCAATCGTCCTCCGTGCTGCACGCCACCGACAGCTGCTCCGCCATGGCCGCGGTTGCCGGGTAACCCAGCTGGCTGGGATCCGGAGCACCCGGCGGGACGTAGGTTTTGGAAGAGGGGTGCTGCTGTTTCCGGGGGCCCCGGAAGTTGGACGGAGAGCCGGGGATGCTGCCGGCCTTCATTGTTGCCTTGGAGACAGAGACATCCTTAATGTCAGAGTGTGAAACCAGAGTGAGCTGGAGGATAAATGGAGATAAATACAAATAAAAACACGGTTCAGATGAGTTTCGCATGGCACAGCACTTATCTATTATGGAGGCTCATGAGGGTCAAAACAGAGAAAATATCACAAAATCTGCGTTGCACGGAAATAAAATACAATGATGTCCTTAACTTCTGAAGAAATAGCTAAATGTTTTATTATTAAAGGAGTGAATTTATAGAAATAAAACTATTAAATACTCAGACATACTCACTAGTTCTGGATTTTCAAAATTAAAGTCTCACATTTAAAAGGAAAAACTCTAATCTTTTATGAATTATAAAAAGTAAAACTTTTTAGAACTCAAATTTGAAAAGCTATGAGAAGAAACTGAGTTATTTCATGTTTTTTTAATTATTGTAGCTTTAAACCTTTGCTGCTGATGAATGTAAGACTATTCTTTTCCTTAAAGACTGTAAAAATCAGTTATCTGTAAATTTAAACCTTATGGCTTTTGTTTTTATTTTATTATTATGTTAAAATGTTAAAGATTCATGTAAATTATTGTATTCAAATGTGAAATTTTGTCCCACAAATGAACATCGAAAGGATTAAACCTGTTAAACGTCCAGTATGTACGTACGTTTAGATTTACTGACATCTAGTGGTCAGATGGGGAACAACACCACTAATCTAAAAAAAAAGAACATTGTTTGCTCCTGATGATCTGGAGCAGCAGCTTTCTTTAGGGCTTAAACAGGGTTATGTGTGTGCGTGTGTGTGTGTGTGTGTGCGCGCGTACTATGGGAGTATTATTGAGCGGGGGGTCCACCAGCAGCACCTCCTTCAGAACTGATGGAGAATATTTGCTTTCATAACCTGCATGGAGACATTAGCATGTTAGTATATTTAGCATGTTAGCACCTCACTGCTAACCCAGAGTCCCATACATACCATAATTAGGAGGAACCAAAATGGCTCGGTTATTATTAGCATTAGCCACATTAGCAGCAGCAGGACCCTCCATGTGACCCAGGACTCTGATGTGTCCGTGACCTGGCATGGAGTCCCCGTTAGCAGGCTGAAGAAGCTCCATGGCCCTCTGGTTGACCTGGAGCTCCTCGGGGGTCGGTGAGGACTGGTATCCCAAAGAGAATGGGGGGTACTGGGGTCCAGATGAGGGGTACAGGGAGTGGACCAGACCTTGACCTTGGTGGTACCCCTGAGATGAGGGAGGGGGGCCTGAGTATGGGGGAGGAGGGGAAGGATATTCCACTGGATAGCTGGGGTTTCTGGGTGGAGGCCCCTGCTGCCAGTACATAGGGGGGCAGGGCATTCTGTGGGGCACGGGTGAGGGCTGGGTGACCCCCTGGTAAAGAGGAGAGTTGAAGGGGGGCTCAGAGGGATGGGGGGGTTCAGCTGGACAAGGGGGCTCACTAACAACAGTCTGGTGGTTGTATGGAGGAGACACTGAAGGTGGGGGGTACTGGGCGGGGGGATGAACCTCCGGAGGCTTGGTGGGGGGACTGGGAGAAGGGTGGAGGGGGGGTGGGTGGGGCTGCATTGTGTAGATCTGCTGTAGAGGGAGCAGGTAAAGGTACGGACAAACAATAGGCATGCTGTAGGCCTGGGGGAGTAGAGAAAACGTCAGGTTGGAGCCAACAGAGCTAATGAAGCTAACAAAAGTAACAGTTAATAGAGATTACAGAGCTATAGGGGGTGGCTTTTGTATGACCTTGTATTGATTCTTCATCACTAACTTCTCCTCCTTCTGCTCTACCAATTCTTCCTTTCCCGGGATCCAATTATTACATTTTACTCCTTTTTTTTTTTGCGTTCTTGGGCGTCGTGACTTTTATCTTGAGAGACCCTATATTAAAGACTGTTTCTTCTTCTATTGTCGCTAATATAGCTAACAAGGCTAACAGAGCCAACGGAGCTACCACAACTGATCGAGTTTTCCAACAGTCATTAAACGCATCATAAACTCCCCTGAAAAATGAACAATGACTGATATTGATGCGTGAATCTGACCTGACTGAACCTTCCTGTAGAGAACACTCAACTCTGCACTTTGGAAACAGATTTTAACCTGCAAACTCTTTTTTTTCTTTGAGGTCATTGCTGGTTTGTTATTTTGCACCAAGGTGAGATGAGTGTGATTGTACGGTTGTTGTGTCATACACAAGCGTTTTCTTACCTTTACTCCCAAATTGAAGAAAAATCTCAACATGTTTAAATCTGCAGCAAAACAAAACAAAATTTAGTCAAATATCTTCGTTATGTTGTTTATCCAAAGGTTTTCTTCTATCCATCCACCCATTTTCTTCAACTTATCCAGTCGGGTCGCGGGGCAACAGGGGTTGCAGGGGTGCAGTTCCTACCAACCGCACCTCTCCAGGTCTCACTGTCGTTGCCCACGTGAGTGTTAAAGTCCCCCAGCAGAACGAGGGAGTCACTGGAAGAAGCGCTCTCCAGCACCCACTCCCTATTCACTCTCTCTCTTTCTTTACATTTTTAATCACAATTGTCTATTTTTGCTCATTTTAAATATATTTTTAATCATTTTCTAAATTCTTTTTTATCCATCCATCCATTTTCATCCGCTTATCCGGAGTCGGGTCGCAGGGGGCAGTAGCCATCCCTCCCAGACTTCCCTCTTCCCAGCCACTTGGGCCAGCTCCTCTGGGGGAATCCCAAGGCGTTCCCTGGCCAGGTGAGAGACATAGTCCCTCCAACGTGTCCTGGGTCTACCTTTAGGTCTCCTCTCGGTTGGACGTGCCCAGAAAACCTCACCAGGGAGGCGTCCAGGAGGCATCCTGACCAGATGCCCGAGCCACCTCAACTGGCTCCTCTCGATGTGGAGGAGCAGCGGGTCTACTCCGAGCCCCTGCTGAATGACCGAGCTTCTCACCCTATCTCTAAGGGAGAGCCCAGCCACTCTGTGGAGAAAACTCATTTTGGCCGCTTGTATCCGCAATCTCGTTCTTTCGGTTACTACCCAAAGCTCATGACCATAGGTGAGGGTAGGAACGTAGATCGACCGGTAAATCGAGAGCTTCGTCTTCTGACTCGGCTCTCTCTTCACCACGACAGACCGGTACAACGCCCGCATCACTGCAGATGCAACACCAATCTGCCTATTGATCTCACGCTCCAGTTTTTCCTCACTCGTGAACAAGAGCCCGAGATACTTAAACTCCTCCACTTGGGGCAGGACCTAATCCCTGATCCGGAGAAGGCATTCTACCCTTTTCCGAATCAAGACCATGGTCTCAGATTTAGAGGAGCTGATCCCAGCTGCGAACCGCTCCAGCGAAAGCTGAAGATCACGTTCTGATGAAGCCAACAGGACCACATCATCTGCAAAAAGCAGAGACCTGATCCTCAGGCCACCAAAACGGATGCACTCCACACCTTGGCTGCACCTAGAAATCCTGTCCATAAAGGTTATGAACAGAATCGGTGACAAAGGGCAGCCTTGGCGGAGTCCAACTCTCACTGGGAATGAGCCCGACTTACTGCCGGCAATGTGAACCAAGCTGTGACACCGGTCATACAGGGACCTAACAACCCGTATCAGAGGGCCTGGTACCCCATACTTCCGGAGTACCCCCCACAGGGCCCCCGAAGGACGCGGTAAACGCCTTCTCCAAATCCACAAAACACATGTAGACAGGTTGGGCAAATTCCCGCGCACCCTCCAGGATCCTCCTAAGGGTATAGAGCTGGTCCAGTGTTCCACGGCTAGGACAAAAACCACATTGCTCCTCCTGAATCTGAGGTTCAACAACCGACTGACCCTCCTCTCCAGAACCCCTGAATAGACCATACCAGGAAGGCTCAGGAGTGTGATCCCCCTGTAGTTGGAACACACCCTGCAGTCCCCCTTTTTAAATAAGGGGACCACCACCCCAGTCTGCCAGTCCAGTGGGATTGCCCCCAATGTCCATGCGATATTGCAGAGACGCGTCGGCCAACACAGCCCCACAACATCCAGAGCCTTAAAGAACTCCGGGCAGATCTCATCCACCCCCGGAGCCTTGCCACAGAGGAGCTTTTTAACCACCTCAGTGACCTCAGCACCAGAGATTTGAGAGCCCAACTCAAAGTCCGCTTGGACTGCCAGTACCCGTCAGCTGCCTCTGGAGTCCCACAGGCCAAAAAATACCTGATGGGACTCTTTCTTCAGCTTTACAGCATCCCTAACCGCCGGTGTCCACCAGTCTACCAGCGGGTTTGGGGGTTGCCAGTCAGGCACAGACGATCCTGCGACCGCAGCTCTGGTCGGCCGCCTCAACAATGAAGGCACGGAACAGGGTCCATTCAGACTCAATGTCCCCCGCCTCCCAAGGAACATTTTGGAAGTTCTGTCGGAGGTGGGAATTGAAGCTCCTTCTGACAGGAGACTCTGCCAGACGTTCCCAGCAGACCCTCGCGATACGTTTGGGCCTGCCTGGTCTGACCGGCATCCTCCCCCACCATCTGAGCCAATTCACCACCAGGTAGTGGTCAGTTGACAGCTCCGCCCCGCTCTTCACCCGAGTGTCCAAGACATGCGGCCGCAGGTCAGATGAAACAACAACAAATTCGATCATTGAGCTGCGGCCTAAGGTATCCAGGTGCCAAGAGCACACATGGACACCTTTATGTCTGAACATGGTGTTCATTATGGACAATCCATGACTGGCACAGAAGTCCAATAACAAAACACCACTTGAATTCAGATCAGGGGGCCGTTCCTCCCAACCACACGTCTCCAAGTGTATTCTTTTTTATATTTTACATTTTTTGTTTTTGTGAAGCGCCTCGTGATTTTTCTCTTGAGGCGCGCTATAGAAAAGAGCTTTACTTCTTCAAAAAGGGTGGGTAGTCTGAACTGTAGTTTGGTGCATACGCACAGACAACAGTTAGGACCCGTCCCCCCACATGTAGACGGAGGGAGGCTACCCTCTCGTTCACCAATGTACAGGCACCAAGATGTGGGGCAACTAGTATGCCCACCTCTGCTCGGCGCCTCTCAGTGGGAGCAACTCCAGAGAGTGTCCAGCCCCTCTCGAGGAAACTGGTTCCGGAGCCAGAGCCATGCGTTGAGGTGAGTCCGACTATTTCTAGTTGGAACCTCTCAACCTCACACACCAACTCAGGCTCCTTCCCCACGAGAAAGGTGACATTCAACACATCAAGAGCCAGCTTCTGTAGTCGAGGATCAGACCGCTAAGGTCCCAACTCTCAGCTACCACCTGTTACACACTGCATCTGACCCCTGAGGTCCCGCTCATGAGTGGTGAGCCCATGGGAAGGGTGACCCACGTTTCCTCTTCGGGCTGTGGCCGGCTGGGCTCCATGGACCAAAATAAAGGGGGGCAAAAGGAGATGTTTTTCTAGACGCCAAGAAAAATTAAATGCCAAATCCCCCCTGCAAAGTGTGTCACTGAGAGTTTAAAACAAAAATTATTCTTGTGCAAATGTTGGCGTATTCACCTTTAATACTAGTTATTAAAATGCAGCAGTTGCTGGATTGGTGCAGTTCAAAGTGGAGTGCATCAAATAAAACAATATTAACACAAAGGTGAGACGTGTCATAATTTAACCCCCCCTCACAGCTGGAAAAATGCCTAGGGGAAACACTGCAGGCGCTCGCCAAGGTGCTCCACCTCCAGGCCTGGCTCCAGAGGGGGGCCCCTGTGACCCACGTCCAGGCGAGGGAACACTGTTTTGATATATATTTTTTATCATGAAGGGTCTTTGCGTTTCCCTTTGTCTGGTCCCTCACCTAGAACCTGTTTGCCATGGGTGACCCTAACAGAGGCATAAAGCCTCAGACAACATAGCTCCTAGGACCACTGGGAAACTCAAACCCTCCACCACGGTAAGGTGGCAGCCCAGGGAAAAGTTAAACCCGAGTAATTTTAATCATATGTTTAAAAACTGTAAAACACGTCAATCAAAGCATGATTTTTTTAACCAAACAGAAAAAAACAATAAAAGACAAAAATGACATCATCACCAGCTTGTGCCCCGGTCCCAGTGTCTCACCTTTTGGCAGGTCGTCTCCCGTCTTGTTGGTAGACATGGGAGGAATCGGGGCCATCTCGCCTTTGTCCCCCTGGGGGAACCCGGGGAACAGGGGGTCTTGGTAAATCTGAGACAGCTGCTGGAGGGGGATAGCTCCAAGGGGGTGATGAGAATGAGGAGGACTAGAGGGGTAAGGAGGCTGGGACTGCTGGGGGGGGGGAGACTGTGGTTTCTCAGGAGGGGGCGGGGCTTCAGCTTGACTCTGAACACTGGGAGACGATGGGACCTGGGAGGGTCCTGGAGGCGGGTGAGAGGACTGAGTGTGGGTTTCTAGTTGGGGCTGAGGAGCTGAGGACTGGACCTCTGTGGGACTCTGGGTCTCAGGTAAACAGGGCGGAGCTCGTTTCTCCTCCTCAGACACAGAAACTGGGTCCAGGTGGGGAGTCACAGGGGCCTGAGACACAGGTTTCTCCATCTGAGAAGTCTGCAGAGTTCCTTCAGTCTGGAGCAAGACATCTACAGAAGACAAGACCGTGTGAGACACGATGACGAGAAGTGAGACTAAATTATTTTAATCTGACATCGGCTGATTTCTCACCTGCAGTTGGAGTGGGAGGGACTTGTTTTTCATCAATGGGAGGAGCTTCTTTTATTTGAGAAAGGGGAGGAGGTTCTTTTTCTTGATGAGGCAGAGATTCTTTTATTTGAGGAGGAGGTAATGGGGAAGACGGGGGAGGAGGGGGGGAGAAGGAGCGTAGGAAGCAGTGAGCAGCTGTGGGACTGGGAGCGATGGGCGCAATGAAGATGGGCTCAGACACTGATGAAGAGGATGGGGGAGTATCAGACCTGGGAGGGGAGGAGGACATGGAGGGAGCAGGAGGTGATGAAGCAGCAGGGAGGACAGGCGTGATGAGGGTGAAGAGAGACGGGACGGAGGGTTTGATGTTGGCTGGGGGAGAGCTCAGATCAGCAGCTGAAGTGTAGGAAGGTGTGTTTGATTTAGCTTCTCGGGCAGCAGAGGCAGGTGGGAGGGTGGGGTCAGTGGTCGGTAAAGTGGGGTTAGAAGATATAGGAGGAGGAGGAGTGGAGGACTTGGGTCTGTCTCCAGAAGAGGGCGCCAAGTCACTGACCTCTTCAACTGGACTCTTCTAGAAAAACACAAACACGTTAAAAACACCAGAGAAGAAGAACACAGTGAGCAGATTCAACTAAACCGAGTCTAAAAATAGAAGACAACGTTGTGGTGGTAACCATGGCAACAGCTGCCTGGAGAACTGTTTCGGACTAAATACTAGATCAAACCGCCATCAACCCTGGAAACATCAAGTCTGAGAAACGAGTCATGTTAATGCTGCTGCCAGTGGCTCATTTGGGTCGCCATGGTTACCACACAAAGGTCATGGGAGCTGGGCGGTGGATGTGCTCAGGACACAAGAACACCATCAGCTGTTTCTAGCTCCAAAGGGGGTGGGGCTTCCTCACCGTCTTGTGTCTTTGAGACTGTCTCTTCTCTCCTCCCTTCTTCCTCCCTCTTTCAGCCTGAACCACAGTGTGAGTCTGAGAGGAAGTAAGTAGGTGGATCTTAATCTGGGCTGAACAGATTATTATTCTCTCATTCTAGGATTCTGAGTTCCTAAAATAAACTAAACCCTCAAAATTAGCAGTTGCTGAGGACAGAGCTACTGGACTCACCTTGAGGGCGGGGAAGCTGTGTTCGTCTCGGAGCTGGATCTCCATCAGAGCCATGTTCATCTCCTCTTCTACTTTGGCCTGTCGCTCCTTCGCCGTCACACCAAATGCTGCCTCCAAGGAGCTCACTGATGTCCTGCAGAAACCAACGGTTACATCATCAGCCTTGTGCTGGCCCCAGTGAGGTCATCTGGGTTTGCAAAGCGGCGGCCATGAGTTAAACCCAAACATGGGTCCAGGCAGAGGTGGCTGCTACAAACGAGTTTAAATTAAACACTCAAGTCCTGACCTGCTTTTGGGCCCTCCCTGCTCCTCTGTGGTGGCCTGTGGGGGCCACGAGTTCTGCTTCTGCACACGCCCACTGGAGCCTGTGGTCGCTGTCTGGGACACGGCAGAGTAGGATGCTGGAGTGGGCTTCCCTCGTCCTCGCCCTCGACCCCTGTCCTCCCAGTCTGAGACAGCAACAGAACATCATTATAATCCTTAAAACATCAAGATGCTTTGCTTGTGTGTAACCTAGCCGTTAGCTCATCGACCCTCTTTTTACTTCATATAAACGTGTCTATGGCTCAGTGACCTCAGCAGGAGCTTAAGACAGACTCATTCAGTGAGACAGGAAGTAAAGCTACAGCTCAACATACACATAAAAATAAATAGAATGAAAATAATAAAAACCCCTTCCATGAAAAAAACTTTTTAACCATCCTGCTAGTAAAGCGTTGGCAGGACATGAACTCGTGTCACCTCCGTGTCCGTTGCTCAGCTTCTTCTCTCGGACAACGGTGCTCCAGGTGTTTTCCGCGCTGTAAGGTCGGATGTTCCACAGAGGCACCTGCCTGCAGACAAGACCACCTGTCAACCAGCTGAGTTAGCACAAACAGCGCCATCAGTGTATCACTGTGTGTGTGTGAATGGATGAATCATACACTAGCGTAAAGCGCTTTAGAGTCCTCTGACTCTGAAAAGCACTTTATAAGTGTGGGTTATTTATCATTTAACAGCAGCGTTAGCAGCAGTACTAGCAGCATTAGCGGTACTAGCAGCATTAGCAGTACTAGCAGCATTAGCAGTACTAGCAGCATTAGCAGTACTAGCAGCATTAGCAGCAGTACTAGCAGCATTAGCAGTACTAGCAGCATTAGCGGTACTAGCAGCATTAGCAGTACTAGCAGCATTAGCAGTACTAGCAGCATTAGCAGCAGTACTAGCAGCATTAGCAGTACTAGCAGCACTAGCAGTACTACCAGCATTAGCAGCAGTACTACCAGCATTAGCAGCAGTACTACCAGCATTAGCAGTACTAGCAGCAGTACTAGCAGCATTAGCAGTACTAGCAGCATTAGCAGCAGTACTAGCAGCACTAGCAGTACTAGCAGCATTAGCAGTACTAGCAGCATTAGCAGCAGTACTAGCAGCATTAGCAGTACTAGCAGCATTAGCAGTACTAGCAGCAGTACTAGCAGCACTAACAGTACTAGCAGCATTAGCAGTACTAGCAGCATTAACAGCACCAGCAGCATTAGCAGTACTAGCAGCATTAGCAGTACTAGCAGCATTAGCAGCAGTACTAGCAGCATTAGCAGCAGTACTAGCAGCACTAGCAGTACTAGCAGCATTAGCAGTACTAGCAGCATTAGCAGCAGTACTAGTAGCATTAGCAGTACTAGCAGCATTAGCAGTACTAGCAGCATTAGCGGTACTAGCAGCATTAGCAGTACTAGCAGCATTAGCAGCAGTACTAGCAGCATTAGCAGTATTAGCAGCAGTACTAGCAGCATTAGCAGTACTAGCAGCATTAGCAGCAGTACTAGCAGCATTAGCAGCAGTACTAGCAGCATTAGCAGTACTAGCAGCACTAGCAGTACTACCAGCATTAGCAGCAGTACTACCAGCATTAGCAGCAGTACTAGCAGCATTAGCAGCAGTACTAGCAGCATTAGCAGTACTAGCAGCATTAGCAGCAGTACTAGCAGCACTAGCAGTACTAGCAGCATTAGCAGCATTAGCAGTACTAGCAGCATTAGCAGCAGTACTAGCAGCATTAGCAGTACTAGCAGCATTAGCAGTACTAGCAGCATTAACAGCACCAGCAGCATTAGCAGTACTAGCAGCATTAGCAGTACTAGCAGCATTAGCAGCAGTACTAGCAGCATTAGCAGCAGTACTAGCAGTACTAGCAGCAGTACTAGCAGCATTAGCAGTACTAGCAGCATTAGCAGCATTAGCAGTACTAGCAGCAGTACTAGCAGCATTAACAGTACTAGCAGCATTAGCAGTACTAGCAGCATTAACAGCACCAGCAGCATTAGCAGTACTAGCAGCATTAGCAGTACTAGCAGCATTAGCAGCAGTACTAGCAGCATTAGCAGTACTAGCAGCATTAGCAGTACTAGTAGCATTAGCAGTACTAGCAACATTAGCAGTACTAGCAGCATTAGCAGCAGTACTAGCAGCATTAGCAGTACTAGCAGCACTAGCAGCAGTACTAGCAGCACTAGCAGTACTAGCAGCATTAGCAGTACTAGCAGCATTAGCAGCAGTACTAGCAGCATTAGCAGCAGTACTAGCAGCATTAGCAGCAGTACTAGCAGCATTAGCAGCAGTACTAGCAGCATTAGCAGTACTAGCAGCATTAGCAGCAGTACTAGCAGCATTAGCAGTACTAGCAGCAGCACAACAGTGTTCTTGGAACTCGTTTTTCCAAGATAAGTTAGCCGGAAATTACGCCATGATCTTAGAATTCTGAGCTGCGACCTTTTATGCTTCAGTGGACCCCAAGATCCCAAATTTAAAGATGGCTGTGCCCAGCGCTAGCAGGAAGTAGTCTTCATTTATTTTTCCTCATTTATATGTTCTGTTTCCTTTCTTTTTGCTATTTAACAGCACAGAGCAGTTGTTTATTGTTGTTATCAATAGTTATGTTGTTTATGGTTTCTACTTTTCCTGACATTTATATTTTCACATTTGATTTGTAATGTTTTTCTGGTTTTATGTGGAGACTGTCAGGGCGTGTTTGTCAGTATCATTTAGATGCAGAGAATACTTGGTTACAAGTTATTTTGGTTATAAGATCTTTTAGTCGTCAACGACACTGGTGGTGCCCATTTTTCGAGAGGGTGCTCGCTGCAGACCTACAAAGGCGGAGCTGCACCATAAGGTGGAGCTGCACCAGAGTCAGCCCCGCCCATTCACGCAAACTCAGCCTAGCCCACTGACTTCCGTTTTTGTTTTCAACTTTATCGCAAACTGACCTGACCCACATGAATTACGGCTGTTACTAGTTTACAGTCGTTAATGCTATGTTCTATGCTCCAATTAAACAAGATAAATATAACTTGCTACATGACAAAGTCTGAATATATCCCGAAATAAAAAGGTTTTTCTTAGCGAATATCTGCCCACAGCCGCTCTAACAAAAGTCCTGTACAACAGCATGTACCATTCCCATGTGTGTTCTGTTAGTCCAGTGGCAAGATCGTCTGAGTTGAGTTTTGCTTTCCCCTCAGCTGATGCTGGTTCGATTCTCGGTGGGGTCGGCAAAAATCTATTTAGCCAGCTGAAACATTTAATTTGTTCATATTTAATTGTAACGTTCATTTTCAGCAAAATATTTATGTCTCTACCAGTTCTTTGAATTTGGTCGTTCCTAAACAGCATTTTAGTTGAAACTCTGCTCACAGATGGACTCAAACTGGCTAAATAAACAAATGAATAAATAAAAAAACACATTAGTCATTATATGTTAAACGGCATACCAATAAATTGTTGTAAACAGTACTGGCAAGTGTAGCTAGACATGAAGAAAAGAGGTTGTACACTACCTAAAACTTACACTAATGGGAGGCCAACCTGCACAAAACTGCATGTCAACCTGATTCCATAACCACTACACCACCACATCTGTTATAACTCATTCGGCGTTACATCTAATTGTGCTTCCCATTGTGTCTCTGAGATGGGTTGTATGGTTTATTGGCGGTGTCTCAGTAGAAGTCATTTTCAGAAATAATTTGTCAGAAAATTCACAGAATATCCAGATTTGAGAACCAAGACCAGACCCGCTTCGGGGGAGGAGACCAAATTGAAGCTGAGATGGGAAGAAAATGCATGAATGAGGCCAAAAATGGCTTTGGCGTGTTTCTTATGAGGAAATGACAATATAACATGATTAAAAGTTCCAAAAGTTAGATTTTTAATTATATGGAACCTTTACAAAAACTGTTCAATTCAATTCTCAACTCCGTCCTCAATCTTGCATTTTTTAGCTATAACACCCTCTTTGGATCCAGAATGCTATAAAGTCTGACAACTGGAAGAAATTGGACTGACTCTGATAGAATGGGCGGGGCTGATTCTGGAATGGGCGGGGCTGACTCTGGTGCAGCTCCACCTTCTGGTGCAGCTCCGCCTTTGTGGTTCTGCAGCGAGCACCAGTTGCATTTTTCTGAGTTGTCAGCTGGAGCGCAAAACGAGCGTGTTACATCATGTCCTGCTCTGAAATTCTGAGGACATCAGCACTAGCAGCAGCAGCCAGACCTACTTCTTTCCCAGGTCTTCTATAAAAACGGTCACTGGGCCATTGTTCTCAGGAACCTCTTTGATGGTGGCGTTGTAGCTCCGCCCACTGCCCTCCAGACGAACCTGAAGGCCAAAAACAAGAATATTAAATTTGAGTTCTGTGGTTTAGCAGGTTACAGGTCTAAGAAGAAGCCGGACTCACCTGACAGCGATCTCCTACGGAAAACTGCATCCCAGCAGCGATGGAGTAATCCATCTTCTGTTGGGCTGGATCCAACGAACACACACACACACACACATTTACGTCATCAGACGGAATCGTCATTAAATCACTGAGAGCAGATGTGGTGAGGATGGAACATCTTGTGTGTCTGGTTAAAGACCCAGGTGTGTATTGTTTGTGTGATCGTCTCTAATGGGCGTCTCTTTCACCTCTTTTGGTTTTGTGCCAGATATCGTACTCCACGTTCCGCAGCAGCGTTGGGTTCAGAGACCGTCTCACCCTCTCTGAAAACTGACGGCCGCGTCCTCGGCCCTGAAAGCAGCAGAGGGACATGACATGAGTAGCGCTCCAGGAGAGGGGGTAGGCGTGCTGGTGGGGGGCTGGGTGTTACCCTGAAGCTGTGGCTGTTGCCTCTGGATGGCGTGGAGCTGCTCCCGTTCTCCACCCTGCAGCAGAACAACACACACACGGCCTTTTCACTAAGGTCAACCATGAAAGTTTGTGTTAACCAAAGCAACCCAGAGCTGGCTCCTACCACAGTGGCTCTTTGCTGTCGTAGTCAGACTCGTCACTGCTGCCGCAGACGGCCATGGCGTCATCACTCAGCAGGTCGCTGGGCCGACCGGCTCTGTGACACAAGGACAAAGAGCTCTGGTCCACCTTAAACACGCCGTCATACAGCAGCTCGTACAGGATGGCTGCAGGAGAGCAGAGTTAGGAACCCAACGGCAGAGACTCACAACTGCATCAGCAGGTAGATCTGACCAGATCTTACAAGATCTTACCAGCTCTGACCAGATCTAAGCGGATCTGACTGGATCCAAGCAGATCTGACTGGATCTAAGCAAATCTAACCAGTTCTGATCAGATCTAACCAGGTCTGACCAGATCTAACCAGTTCTGACCAGATCTAAGCAGATCTAACCAGATCTAAACAGGTCTGACGAGATCTAACCAGGTCTGACCAGATCTAAGCAGATCTAACTAGGTCTGACGAGATCTAAGCAGATCTAACCAGGACTGACAAGATCTAAGCAGATCTAACCAGGACTGACCAGATCTAACCAGTTCTGACCAGATCTAAGCAGATCTAAACAGATCTTACTAGATCCAAGCAGATCTGACCAGAATTAAATATGTTCTCACTCATTTAGTGACCAACAGTCATAGATCAACAACATACAAGCTGTAAATAACACCCACCACCTTCATAGTAGTAAAAATAATAATAATAATTATCATCATAATGAGTTGTTTTCCAAACAGCCCGAGACGTGGTTCGGTCACCGGTATAGGATCAAAACCAGTCAGAACCGGCTCAGGGACTCACACTGGCAGACGGCAGCATTCTTGACGTGGCTGATTGGATAAACGCTGTCGTAATGATTCCCGTTCAGAAAACACAACCGCACCTGGAGGAGCAGAAAACCATCAGACTGGGATTACTGAGATTTTATCAGATTATTTCAGACTGGTCTTCTAAACCCTCGTTAGGTGTGCTGCTGACTCACAGCAGGAAGTTACAGGTTTGTTAGAAAAATGATTTATTAAAAAACAGGAAGTGTTAAAGTCTCACTTTGTCCTTAAAGTTGTTGTCTGTGATGTTGACGGCCGGTTTTCCAGGTTCCTGGAAAATCTCAAAATCCCTCCTGGAGGAAAAACAACCCAACATCAGTCAGAACATCTGTTTGTGTTTAAACGCATCGAATGTAAGACAAACTACAACGTCTGAGCCGTTTGAAAACATTTGAAAGTTGTTTTACTGTAAAATAATGGTACAAGATTAAAAAGCTTTTATTTTCAAAAGTAACAGTGAAGAGTAAGAAAAGTATAAATGAACAAAAACAAAACAATAATAAATAAACCTGTTTTTACACTTAAACCCTTTATGTTGCCTTAATGACAAACATGAAAACAGAACCATGTGACTAACTTGTACATGATGGCCAGAGCGCTGATCTCCACCTCGCCCACCCACTGCTGGAGGAAACAGTTCAGATCAACATCTTGTCATCAGGAATAATACGCACGTTCCACTTAGACAGCAGCTTTACCTGGGGGTCCTGCAGCTTCATCAGATACTCCTCAAAGTCTCCTTCGATGAACTGGAGCAGGAATAAAAGCAGCAGAGGAATCATGAAATGTTAAAACTCAGAGAGAATTCTGGGTAAAAAACATCAGCAGGATCTTTCAACGTTGCACGTCCAACAGCTGGAAGTCAAAACATTAGATTCACCAGACCTTTACATGAGAGTGTGCACGTTGATTACAGAGAGCGCTGAAACACGCCCAGCTGCATTCCTGGTACTGTAGCTTCACGCTGCTAGCATCATCTTTACCATCACTTCCTGTTCCTTAATCACAACACCTGCAGGCTGACGCTCTGGAGTTTGCCCTTTTCCTTGACTGGCTTCAGGTTTTACCAGCAGTGGCTTTTCTGACTGATATGATGTACAAATAAAAGGTTTTACTTTCATTTGTTGGGTCAAAGTTGTTTTTAGCTTTGTTTCTAATCAGTGTTTTAATTTTAATAACAGATGCTTCTGCTTTTATGGACAAAAACCAACAGTTCCTCTAAAGAAAACGCACAAAATTATGTTTTACTGCAGCTTTGCGTGATTTATTCATTCTTACAGAAACAACAGCTGAGATCCTGGAGCTCAAACACTAAATCCAATCTGATCCTGACTGTTTCTGTCCATTAAAGCTCTGAGTCCACTGCGGAAAACTAAGAAAACATGTAAACCAAAACACATTTCTGTGTTTTAATAAAAGCTAATGAGACATAATCTGAAGCAGATTAACAAACACGTGTTTTTTAATCCTGCAGAGTTAAAGTTAAAAAAAAAACTGTGATGTTTTATATCAGATCTAAAACCATAAACAGAATAAACTCTACCTTTGATCCCATTCTGGTCATTTCTGATGACTAGACTGGGTAAACTGGTACATACCGCCTCATAACTGCCCCTGTTTTGCTTCAGGAACTCCACACATTTAGCCCGAACCTCCGTATGAAGACTCTGGCAGTGCAGCACCTGGGGGGTCAAAGGCCAACAGTCAAAACACCAGGTGACAGCTTATTTCGGACTTCTCTTGCGCGACACGATCCACACACGTATGAAACAGCAGACGAGCCTAGATCCACCAAGCTGGAGGATCCGTGAAGAAAAGTTTTGTTCCGTAACTTTGTGTGGCGCAGGAGCACAACAAGCAGCTGAGCTCACCAAGCTAACCAGTAAACACTTTAGTCCGTTTCCACCAACTTTACCTGCTCGGCAACAGCCCGGAACAAGCACGAGCCGTCTTTGGCAATCTTCTTCCGATGAAAGCCGAGAGCTTTCAGGTAGTTATCCATCAATCTCTCCGCGGTCCTCTCCTCATTACTCTGCATGTTTCCGCCGCTGTCCATGCTAGCTAGCGGGGCTAGCCGCTCAAGCTAGCCGATGATACGACGGTTAGGACGCGCCGCGGGGAAACAAACAAACAAAACTTTTACACAAACAGTAAATATACCCACCGGAGGTGGTTAAATATATACATCTGATGACCAAAGGCCGTCAGATTAAACAAAGACTACTTCTGGTTTCGTTTCCCGGGAAGTCCCGTTGCTGTAGCGACAGAGGGATCTTCGGACAGGCAGAAAGTGAAACTTTAGCTGGCAGTTAGCAGCCGAGCTAACAGCTAGCCACACACCCCCCTTCTGCACCACGGTGTCAAGTTACAGCCAATGGGGAGAAGACATTTCCGGTTGGTGTACAAAATAAAAGCCCAACAAAGGGAGGCCGTTGATTAAGAAAATGAGTGAAATCCTAATCACCACCAAACAGTAATTAGTTTGTTCATTAAATATGATCGATTTAAAAAAATAAACACGGTCAAATAAACAAACAACACCCGAAAAGAGACAGTGGTAAAACAATCACAGTATTTTATACTTAGATTTTCAAAATAAAAGTTTACAACAAACACAAAGCTCTACCCCCTTAAGAATTAAGGATCACTTCCTTAAGTTTAACTTTCATAATGAAACCCACCACTCTTTCCTACCAAAATAAAAGTCTCCACTACTATCAAATATATAAAAAAACAAGTTTACAACGATTTGACAAAATAGCGCTAATAATTAAGAAACGTCCTAATTATTTAGTGGTTTATTTTGTTGTGTGCAACTTTCGCAAAAAATTCCTTAAAATCTCCAACAGCTCCACCAAAGAACAGAAACTGTACAATAGCATGAATGAACAGTGAAGAACACCGGAAATGGACATAGTTAAAATAAATATAGCTGCAACACAATCACAACAGGTAAACGTTTAAAAAAGGTGGAATTTAATCTCCTTATTTTACATATAAACAAAATCGGTGTGTTTCTTCAAGCATCCTCCTCATCCTCCCTCTGCTCCTCCACTTCCTCCCTTCCTTCCTCTCAGTCAGCAGATGTATCGATTTTTAGTCATTAGTGGTCAGAGAGCTGCAGGCTGAGACCAGTGCAACACGACTTCTACCTGGGTCCATCCCATAATAATCTGTACAATCGCTGCTGCTCATTCATTCATGGGTGTTATGAAAAATGATCTTTTTGAGCTTTTCTCTATCAAACTTACAACATAATTCTGTGAGACAATAATGATAATAATAATAATAATTATAATAATAATAATAATAAAATAAATGACTAATTAATACAATCATATTATCTAGATTGGCTTATATAGTCTTAGAAGTGTGTTATGTAAAATTTAAACATCAGATAAAAGTTTTTCATTTCAAATTTTATAATAATTTTTGAGTTAATTCTTTTCTTCTGCCTTTCTCTCTGCTGCTGAGTTATTTGCTCTTGTATTCTTAAGAAATAGTAAATCTGAGTATGCCTACATAAAAACTATGCTGTGATATTCTGACTGGACTCTTTAACTATGTAATAATTTTTAAAACTCTTCTGAAAATTGTTATATCTCAGAGAAATGTGAGAAATTAAAAAAAATGCTCCTCAAAAATGTAAAACAGTGCCATCTAGTGGCAGGATCTAAACTGTGATAATGTCATCAGGCTGACAGCAGAGGGAGACCTGTTTTGGTTTCAGTCACATTTATCTAAAATGAGCAAACGCTATCCAGATCTTCAGAATCAGAACTTTTTTCTCTGTGCAGCTGCAGCAGATCCAGCTGCCTGGATTATTTCATCTATTATTGATGTGATTGGTGGTGGAATGCTAATGCTGTAGTTTTTGAGGGAGAACGCTGCTGAAGGCCTTTTCACTAAATGCCACAAAAAATCCAGTGTTGTCCTCTCAGGGTAAAACAGGATTAAAGGTGTCTATCTCAGAGGCTTTTGACTAGAACTGCCTGCTTTAGTCCTGCTGGACCTGATGGTGGCCTTTGTGCCACGTCTCGCACACGTGACCTGGCCCAGTGTTGGATAGGGGGAATTCATGGTAGTTTTACACCTTTAACTTGAGGCCTTCCTCCACCTCCCTCCTGCTCTGATGCTATTTACTGAAACCTAATAATGACCTCTGTGAGGCAGAGCGGCCTCTCGCTGCACGGCCAGTCCAGAGCTGCTGAGGGAATCTACAACATGCCAAGTAGCCATAGCAACGGGTGAGAAGGGGACAGCACCCACGGCGGCTGACACTTATCCTCCCACTCGTGGTGAGTGTGGTGCATGACCTTCATCCCTGCATTTGCTCTGATATTCACACTTTTCCTTCTGCAAAACGATCCAGAGAGACGGTGTGTTCCTGCAGAGCCTTTTACAGAGTAGGACCGGTGAATCACAGCGGCAGAGACCGGATCAGGACTTCTGCACGGTAACAGGAGCCCCGTCACGTGCTACAGAAGACATGGGAGTCAGATGAAATTAAACTTTATTGATCATTGCAGCAGCAAACAGTTACAGGATACAGCAGAGAAGAAAAAAACAGGAAATAAAAGGCAGAAGTACACAGAAGGATGGGAAGGTTGGGAGCGTTTCGTATCTCATGCTTCTTTGAGTCAAACTAAAGTGTTAAACTGAAACGTGCAGGCAGACCTCTGCAGAGTCCAGCACCGTGGAGCGAGTCCCACACCGGAACACGCGTGTGCAGGCTGTTCTGGTAGCTGCATCTCGTCACTACGCTCCTGCAGGCATTTGATTATCACATTTAATGACACTTATTACATCTACTGCACATGCTCAGGCGCTGTCACTGTGCAACCAAAACGTGAAGAAAGATTCAAAAGTCAGAGTGCATCTCATGATTCTGCAGCAAACCAACAAAAGAGGGTTCAGTCTCGTCTCTGAGCGGGAGAGAAGAGACGTGTGTGAGGGAGCTCCGTGAAGGCTGGAATAAAACACAATCATCCGACTCTTCAGGTGAGCAAAATATGGAGGAAAAAACAGAATGTGTTGATTCTGAATCAAAATTTAAACATAGTTTATAAATAAATAATGGAATAATTTGGATATTTTTAAGATGTTTCTGTGAAAGTTGGTCAATAATTAAGGCTGTAGACAGCTGTGTGAACAACCTCAGTTCAAAGAATTAGAGATGATCCCAAATAAGTAAAGTCCAGTACTTTATGTAAACCAATATGGACTGGTATACAGTACTGCAGCATACTGGGACTCTTTCCTACCATTTAACAGTAAAATGGCCATCTAATGCAACACTGACAACCGTTTGACGTTTGTGAAATATGACTTGCATGGATTACTGAACCCTTTTCAGCAACTTTAACCTCAAACCTTTTCCAAATGGTTAATGAGATAATGTGTAGTTTTTACCATTGAGCTCTAGAAAAAGAGATGCAATATATTTTGGCCGAGCAATATTGCCGTAGTATGATGATGTCATCGGCACCAGGACCCGAGCACATCTACAGCACCAGAAAACTAGCATCGGCGTTGCATTCTGACGACGGAATTAACTGAAGGACAATCAAAGTCTGAGGAGTCACGCCAAGGTTGCATGCTTTCTGCTCCACATGTAACATTTGCTGTAATGTTTTTTATAAACTAACGACAGTCACGGCAATATGGTGTAAAACTACCCTGAAATGTACATACTGCCCCCTAGTGGCAGGAGACTGAACACTGTCACTTTTAAAATAAATAATTAAAAATACTTTTAAAATAAGTCTTGTTGTGGAAGAGCGTGCTCTGACAAGACATTTACTGTCATACCGTCTAAGGATTTCTCCAAACTTAGGATGTTCAAAGACAGAAAAGGTATCTGGACGGTTTCCACAATCTGAACTTCCAGGTAATTCTACCAGAACTTCACAGGGTGCACATGTCACCAGGATGTCCCAAAAGGACCACTTTCTGGACATTTCCCAGACCATCCGAGTAACTGAACTGGGGTACAGTATGTACTTGGAAATGGCCCGACAGAGTTGCTGGGCGGTAGATGTGGTTAGCTCATGCTGATTGGTTGTGACTCATCTCCAGAACAACCAGTATTTGTTAGCCTGGCCTGCCAGACTCCTCCTCTGTTTAATTCTGCACAGAGAAAGGGTCTGGGAACACTCCTAGTCAAATAACCCCACCCCGTGAGAATTCTAACCGAGCCAATCAGCGCTGAGTAGCGTACGTCACACACCATAGCGCAGAGTTTGCCAAACACGGCGACTGAAGCGGAGTTCGCTGCGGTCTAAATGACTCAGGTGTCTTTAAAACCACAACAAGTAGAAGCGCTAAAAGCCTTGTTTCTAAAGGAAGATGTTTGCGCCGTCGCCAGACTCCATTTTTGACTACAGCTAAAAAACTACAGCGTCGTGGACGTCACACACAGCGACGTTCAGTTTCTCATAAACAATGAAGACAGCGGCGGAGTTCGCTGTGGCTCTTTCCTCTGTTCCAAATGACTCAGATGTCTTTAAAACCACAAGTAGAAGCGCTAAAAGCATTTCTTTAAAAAAAAAAAAAGATGTTTGCGTCGTTGCCAGACACCTTTTTTTTTTACTACAGCTAGAAAACTACAGTGTCGCACGGTACAGTCGGCATTTCCGTCTTTTTTCTGATTGGTTACTTTTGAGCTGCCTAGTCCCGCCCTGCCAAATGCCTCTCTGCCTGTGAGTTACCAGACTCTCTCTGTGCAGAATTAAACAGAGGACGAGTCTGGCAGGTATTTGTAAAACTGGAAAAGTCACTGGTGAAGCAGAATGTAAGGGAAAGAAAATAGCATTGATATGTCGTTCAAATTTCAGTTTCTAAACTCATAATGTCAGAAATGTGGCAGAACACCCCCCCCCCCCCCCCCCCGCTGTAGTTCGCTGTGGTCTCCTAAAGAGTGCTGTAAAACACTACGCTTCCTCTGTTCATTGAACACCCATTTAATGCCACACTGCCACTCTTCCCGTCCACTAAATGGATAATTACTATGGTATTACTATGACGAGATAAAACATGTATAATGTTATCAATGTTGGTGGACGCCTGTTGGCGCTGATTGGTGATGTTCATGACTGCTGTCCCTGAAAGGGCAGACTTTGATTGAAGACACAACGGCTGAGGGGAACAAGCCAGCATATTTTGCCGGTCACCTTCCCTACACCCAGAAATTTCCCAGAACTCCTATAATGGAAACACAGCCATTAATTATTTCCACCATTTCACACAGAAACTACAAAAATCAGAGCAAAACTCCCCCAAAGGAGTAAAAACATGTTGGTTTTAATCTCTGATTTCTTGCTTCTTGGCTATTTCTAATGCAGGACTTCGATAATATGCAGATGATCCCGTTGTGTTTCTACTCAACCAAACACAAATAAAAATCTCTGCTCTCTGCACCATTTGATCACCTTATACCGCAGACTCCAGCTGATGCCAGGCGGCTTGCTTTAGTCTTTTTTAATGTTGGGTTAAAAACATGCTTCTGAATGCTGTGGTGGGCACGACCATCCTGGTGCGACACAGCACATTCCTGCTCATGTCAGAGCAACGCAGGTCTGAATCTCTGAGGCACAGAAGGCAGCATGACTCTGGTTCAAAGCCAGGGTTGTGTTTCAGCCTCTATCATGTGTTAAATTCACTGATTGGTTGGTTTAGTCCCACGAGAAAGTCTCGTGTAAAAAAAATAACAAAGATGTATTGCACAAGTGTCCGTTTTAAAGTCTTTTGCTGTGATAATAAAGGATGTTGTGATAATACAGTGTGTGTCGTCATCTTCAAACTGTCTGGCGCCCCCTGCAGGCAGGGAGGAGGTAACACATTCAGATCGATTTAAAGTCGACAGTCAGCTCAAACACTCAGCAACATAAAACCCATTAAATCACAAACAAGAAGACTGAGCTATAAATACTCATTTGCTGGATTTAATCTATTTGGCTTCGTAGTTTTCAGCTTTTCCTTCAGTGTTTTTCTCATCATCAAATCAATTCTTGTGAGGTTAAAGATGGCTTCAGGGTTCTGAATGAAACCTTCCCTCGTCTCGACGAATCCACGTTTTAGTGCAACTTCCATACATGTTGGGCTCCTGGGAGCTCCATGTAGTTATGTAAACACAAACACGTCATTAATATACAACACAAGTATCAGAAAGTTCATCACCGTCCTCCAGAAAGCACCAATCCTCCAAAATCCTCCACGGACACACAAACCGTACTGTTTAAAACGTGAACTCAAACCATCATGAAACATGGGATTTGAGTCAAATGATGACATTCTGCTAAGGGTTAGCATACAGCTTAGCAGCTAACCTGTTTGCTAACTATTTAAAAGGAGACTAGGCAATTTAGGCTTGCTTTTAGCGCCCCCTACCATCTTGTTAGTGAAACCAAAAGTGAAACTCTTAGCCTTGCTGTGCGTTCATCTTTTTCACACCTTAATCTAACAGCTGAAATGTCTCCCAGCCTTCCTTAGTATCTACAGGAGTGATTCATCACTACATCAAACGAATCAGCTGTATTCATGATCTAGTAAACGTGCTGGAAGCAGACTGCAGAGCCAGGTATGTAATCTCCCTTTAACTAAGTCCAACAGAGCCTTGACTGGCACGCTGAAGTTGCAAGTGTGATATTCTGGCCACAGGGGGCGATGGAGGTCTAAGTGGCATTTCACTAACACCGTTGAGAGTCATTTGAGCAGATACTGGCGCAAAAACGGATCTAAAAATATGAAAAAGTTGCAGTGTATGGCTTTGAGCTTTAATCTTAATTTGATGAAAGGTTGATTGATACCATTTCTTTTTGGCTGAAGCCGATGTTTTCAGAAATTTAGGGTGACCAATCTCTGATATATTTGATTTTTAAAGAAGTCTCTAATATTTGTTTTCTCTCATAAATCAATAGCACAAATGTTTGACCTAAATAAACATTTTAACATTATTAAGGAGACAAAAGGTTAATCGATTCTGTTTCCTGATAACTGATTATTATAAAGCGGTAAATGTCCTCCAATTTATCAGGCTGATTAATCGAATTCCGATAAATGTTTTAACAATGGCTAAATTAACCTAAAAAACATAGCTTAATTACGCTCTCCAGTTTAGAAGCAACACTTCAAAAGGATAAATATGTTTTCATTACTTCAGATTGTTTCCTGAGGTTTTAACGACATTCTTTGGTTGAATGTAACAGGACTACAGAACCAGAACCCTCTCAAACAGCCAGTCTGGGTTTCGACCCTTAAAGAAAACCTTCACTAGCGGGAAACACACAATTATGAGAAATCATCAAAACTTCACATTTGTGTAAATTTTCCTGTTTTCACATTTAGTCACAATTAAGTGAATGCATTAGTGTGTGTGATGCTTTTTGTTTAGTCTCCAACCGCTCCTGAATGTGTCTCATATTTTTTGCCTTTTCTGACTCATAAAAACTAAACTGAGGCGCGATCCAGACACCCGAGATGAATCCGGGGTTCATAATCAAAATTTGACTCACAAATCTTTTAGACATTCCAGAAAAAACAACAGCCGACACTGTTCTGTTCTGATGTTGTGTGAGAACCCTCGGGAACGTTTTGAGACTATTTCAAGACTCAAACAGAAGAGAGCTTTTCTGTTTTCTTATAAATTCAATATAATAACATTAGGGGTGCATTCAATGACCACCAGAAAAATCTGAATTTCCAACTTTCAGGCACAAAAGCAACAATCGTGTGAGATTTTATCACAAAAAGATTTCCAGCACAGTAAATAAAGAGTTTTTAGTGTTTTAGCTCATCAAATGCAGATTTGACATTTTCAGTAACATCATCTAACTTGATCCAGGAAGGTTTTGATTTGAAAAATAATCTAAACTTTTATATATTTTTTAAACAGTGGGGTTTTTTTCCAGTTCAGTGTTTCTGGAGGACGAGAGACGGGTAATAAATAAGTCACACTGTTCACTAGCTAGGGGTAAAGTGAGTATATGACGGGCTAAAGCAGGCAGGAATGCAGCTAAAATTACGAGCATGATGCAAAAGTGTAATAAATACAAAAGGTTGTTTATCTGTGAGAGTTTCAGTGCACTGAGCATAACAGGAGCTGTTTGACATTCTCATACGGAGCGACAGTACCTCGGATAAATGACAGCTTTACATCCATCGCTTCAGAGTTCGCAGGATGGATAGAAGATGGGAGGGGCTTAAAAGTAAGTGGTCAGACCGAGGTAACCCAGAAAGGAGTGTTTGCTGGAGAAAGGTGCAGAGGAGGATGATGAAGGGGAGGGCGGTTTGAGAGAGATGAGCGTTGTGATGGGGAGGAGAGGAGATAAATCCCTCCATCCTGCTCGGTGAGAGAGCGACAGGTGAGGAGGAGGATGGGAGGAAGAGGCGGCAGTGTGAGCTTTGGCTGGTGTGTGCAGCCGCTGGATTTGTTCGTTCGAACGCTGGCCTTCCTCATGAACGTAGGAGCGGTGTGTGTGCACGTTGCCGGGCACGTCGGCGTTCACCTGTGCGCCGTGCTTCACCTTGCAATGCAGCCGCAGACTGTCCCGCCGCTTGGCGCTGTAGGGGCAAAGGTCGCAGGTGAACGGGCGCTCGCCCGTGTGCACGCGCACGTGTTCCACCAGCTTGTTGGCTGTCCGCGTCAGGTGACCGCAGCGGTCGCACCGGTACTGGTTGCCTTGGCGATGACCCTGGAAGTGGACCAGGAGGTCCTGTTGCCCTGGAAACGACCTCTGGCAGATGCGGCAGCGATGCTCTGAGGTGCTCGTCTCCGGCTGGGTTGCCACGGCAACAGGGAGAGCTCTGCTGGAGGCGGGAGGAAGGGTGATGGGGCATCTGGAAGTCAGTCACATTAACAGCACGGACACACACACACACACACACACACACACACACACACACACACACACACACACACACACACGCACGCACACACACACACACACACACACACACACACACACACACACACACACACGAAACCGTGAAAACGGTCTAAATGACAATTTTTAATCGGTAGTGTCTGAATGCTTCTAACTGATGTTATGTAATAATAAATCTTCCTAACTAATCAAATTCAACAAAAGCATTTTGAACAGTTAATTTATCAATTTAGACTGAGATACATTTTCATACACTTCCACGCAGTGCGACCCACTAAATATTACAATAACACAGACAAGACTAGAATGTTTCAGATGAATGGATGAATGAATGAATGATTTTCAAACATTAACTGTGCTAATCTAACCTGAGACTCTTGATGAATTAACTGCATAAGTGGTTCAATGGGAGAAATGTTAAAGCCGTTGCTGGCGACTCATTAGGGTCACCATGGTAACCAAGGGTCACTCACCAGGATCAGCATGTATAGGGTTACACAAGGTTTTACACAAATAAAACCACTAAAATGTGATGAGCTGGACCCACCTGAGGCCTGTCATGTCACCCCGTATGTGCGTGTCAACGTGAGCCCTCATCTCTGCCTCCTGATTGGTCGAATGGTCACACTTGCAGCAGTGAAGCGAGAACAATCTATGCTCCCATTGGCGGTGCTCGGTCATGTGACCCTGAAAGAGGGTGTGGCCTTCGGTCTCAAAGCCACACACATGACACCTGGGTGACGACAAAGGTTTGGAGAAACACGGTAGTCACGGCAACTGTGAATTTGTTTGACCTTTCAGTCGTTATTAGGTGGGGGAACAGTTGGGATACATTTCAGATCTACTATAATTAGAACGTGGGCGATAATGTTTTTGCCTGTGTATGTGTTCATTAGCTAATTTTCTCATTATCCACAGGGTGGATTTTAATGAAACATTTTCACTGGATGAATAATAACAGCTGATTAACTTCTTAAGTTATCTTGGTTCAAGATGTCCGCCACAGTTAATCAGAATTAGTTCTACCCTGAACTCTGGGTCATCACTCATCACTCTGTCACTCATTGCACGGTCACGCTTTGGTCATTTTAAAATGGCGCTCTATCAGTAAAGACTTTACCTACAGATGATGTCACTCAAACTGGGCGGAGTCTCTAGAAAGAGGAAGTAGTGCTCATAACTATCCAGGTCGGTACAAAATTAGTGACTAATTCCCACTTTAATGGATGGTCTTGACTTAGTTCATGCTAGCTGTTAGCTTATCAATCCTGAAAAGTTTCTCTGAACAGAGGCTGTTCATGAGGCTAAAAAACTTAACAATAACTCCTCGCTTTAGATTAGACGTAAAAGGTAAGGATGGTCTCCGTGTATCACCTGAAGAAGAAGGAGGAACCTGATGTTTTGTCTCTAACCAGGCTGGTTGGAGTTTCTGCAAAACAAAGAGAGGCTGTTTATTATCCTACTAACGGACTCATGAAATAAAGCCAGTAACGATGACTCCATGTGGAAGTTATTATTGCTCAACTTTTCTGTGACCGCTGCGCGATCGTTTAACTTCAATGGCCTTTATTATGAAGCCAAAGGCGATCTGAAGGCAGCATAAATCCATAACACAAACAACAGCAGAGTGCCGGGGATGCTCGTTAAAACCTAAAAACCAGTCAGAGGCAGCCAGGCCGAGTCCACCCAGAGCAACCAGAACCAGATTCACACGAAGATCATCCAACCAGAGTCAGTTCACACCACTGGAAGGTGTGAAAAGTGTCTTCGGGTTCACACTGTGCTGTTTCAGGCTCCTCTAAACATGTCAGGTCTGTTGTGGCGTCTAATTGATGAAAGAGTCGAAGTAAGTGACCTTTTTCATTATTTAAACACAGAGTTCATGTTCACACAGCTTCCTGTCCACGCGGATGCCTCGTCTCGTCTGGAGATCAGTGTCGAAGCTACTATTTGTTATCAGTGATCTGACAGTTTTAGAGCTGCTAACGAGCTTTTCCACACACCTCTGAGACAAGATGGTGCCTCTGAGGTTAGACGTCTACCTTCATCTCTCCGACTTACATCATAAACTTCTATTCTCACCTGATTTTAGAAGTTCTAATGACAGAAAACCAACAGATAAAGCAGTACACACATAAACATCTATCTACGTGGGCTGGAACTGATACCAAACTGTAAGATAATAACGTTTAAGATCAGACTAAACGTGCACGAGTGGCTCTTGTGTTAGGGGTCTTCCATACGCACGATCATGTGGGGTACGTTAAGCATTTGCGCAGAAACTGGGACAATTTTCTTGTTGCAGTTAAGTCTCAGCAGGTCTTAATTGTGGTTTTTTCGTGCAGTTTATCCTCATTAAAAGGGGTGTAGGAAAACTGTAATATTCAGTGTTAGGATCCAGAATCTATATCTAAAAGCAGTGAATGGATTTTTTATTGAGAATTCACACAGAAACGTTTACCATATTTGGATGTGTGTTGCAATTCAAACTCCAGCTGCTAGGTGGCAGCAGAGTTTAGCACCTTCCAGGGGTGGACTGGGACCTAAATTTGGCCCTGGCATTTTTACGAATCGTCGGCCCTCCCCATTGGGAGAGCGGTGGGGGTGTTAGCGCCCACGGACTCGTCTCTAGATGTGAGATCTAACATGGGACTGTTAAATTACAAGCAGGGCCAGACCGCTGCGACCGGGAGCCCTGGCCTTCCAGATCTCTCATTCTCCACGGGCGGAGATCAGCGGGACATTAGCTACATGCTAACGTGGTAAAACAACTCCTACGTCATCGCTCTGCCTCGTTTTTTTTTTTGTTGCTAAAAACGCCTGGAAAAACTCTGTTAGCTTCAGGTTACCATGAAGCTAATGTTCTGCAGATCACCAACTGTGGAGTGGTGTCGGCCCAAGCTGGGCAAGCAGCCCACTTGGCTAAGCGGCCCAACCGGGACAGTGCCAGAATGCCAGATAGGCCAGTCCACCCCTGTCTCCTTCCCTCTGAGATCTCCCGATAATGCTGTTTTGGAAGCGTCGGCCTGAGTTTTCTAATTAAATTCAGTCTTAAAAACAGTCAGTCTGGTTTATAGTATCGTGATACGTCGTATCGACTCCCCGGTGTTGTGGTAAATATCGTATCGCCAGATTCTTGCTAAGACACCACTCTGTTTGTCATATATTATTAATGTAGTGGCTAACCGCTCTTGTCGTGAGCTTCAAGCTGACTCAGAAACCAAAAGTGAAAAAACCGAACCAGCAGGATGTTTCCAGTAAACATGATAACTGACCAGTTCTGGTAGCAGCCCAGAGGTCCCATTAAAGCCCTGCTGCGATCAGATCTACAGCATCTGACTTGTGAACCTTTGTTATGAACGTGTGAGAAGGTGCAGGTTTTTTACCACATGAAGGTTCTTTCAGTAGAGGGGAGGAGCAGAGCTGGTCCATGTCCATCTTCAAGCCAGGACTACAGAGAAGAAGACACATGTGAGACATGCTGGACGCAGGCAGAGGCTAAAGCATCCAGCTGGTGACAGGAAGTGAAGCTGCTACCTGCTTCTGATGGGCGGGGTCATCCTCTCCACCTGCTGACTGCTGGACTTATTTACCTTCTCTGGTGATAAAAACACAAAAGTTATTTCAGAGAAACATCTCAGGTGGAGTTAGAGCTAGATGCAGCGCACCTGACTACAGTAGCATCTACTGTCTCTATTTGTTTAAGGGAATGCTCCTGAAAGTCTTCATGGGGTCATCTGCTATGGAAACAGCACATCCTGGTGCTGCTGATCCTCAGCTGGCTCCCAGAATCCAGCCAATCACAGGAGAGAGGGGCTTTAGGGGAGGAGCTTTCAGACTTGAGCTTATAAAGTCCATTCCAGCTGGAGGATTACCCAGAGGACTAAAGGAGCAGGCTGGGGCAAACCAGAGACTTCAGGAAGAAATGCTGAAGCTGCAGGAAGTCCAACATCAGCTTTGTTACCATCTAAACTCAGCTGTGTAAACGATGTAGGAGCTACAAGATTATGGCAAATGTTAAAGCTGCTAATGGTGAAAGATTAGGGTCACCATGCTAACCACCTGCGTCTCTTTAAGCCTGATTTATGCTTCTCTTTCTGCACGGGAGGAGAGACACACAACGCCAAATATGCATCATTGCAAGGACTCTCCAACGCGCTCGCAGAGGGTGACAGAGATGTGCCCAACTTTTTAACTATTTGTCGAAAGCAAGCTTGTGATTGGTTAGGATGCTGCTTTCTTCAAAATTGTCAGCAGCACCGCCATGGCCCCCTCGAAAAATAAAAAGATATTTAGCGACAGACTGAAAGACACCTCATGGAAAAAGTCAGAAAAAGTGAATATATTTTCACCCGTGACTAGAGTACAGCTATGCAGCACATGTTTGATTCGTGGATGAAAATTATGGGAAACGTGGGTTTAGAGGTGGCGATCGCAGGAAGAAGTGGAGGAGAATGAGAGACTAATTTGTCCAAGGTAAAAAGTCTCTGAAATACATTAAAACAAAGTAAACACATTAGTAAATCCACTATCGTGGACCGGATACGTGACTGCAATGGTGGCAGGATACCCCACAAAAGCACTACGCCCTCTGCTGTCCTGGAGGGGAATTGCTTTGCAGCACTCTAGCTCACGGAGAAGTTCGAAAGCAAAATGTCTCCGTCAATACGTGTGAGTGACTCCACACTCGAGTACTGCAGTAAAAATATGTCTGCAAAAACAAAGTCTGGGTCACAGAAGAGGAAAGAAAGAAAGGAGAAAGGACAGGCAGAAGAGAGAGCGTCAGTATGTCACACAGTTTTTCTCAAAGAAAGGTGGGTTTAGTTAGTGCGTTGTTAAATTCAACCTGTTTGCTAGCTCTGATATCCACAGTGAGAGGAACTATGTTTCATCTAATTATGGTAAATGGGTTGTTGTCCTTGTCCCTACCAGAATCACCAGCTGATGATATGTCAGCAGGTGTCCCCTCACAACCCAATGAACCTCAAGAAGGTGAGCAATGTAGCATGTTAGCTAGCAGCCTCATTTAAGGGGGTCTGTGGGACTCACTTAAGGCTCTCTTCTCTATCAGTACTATTACAAAGGAATATAAAAGGCTATTTTTGGTGATAAACACATTGTTTTTCCACATAATGATAATTATATATATCAATCAGTAAAAATGTATAGATTGTTTTTGATGCTGGGCAGGTTGAAGCATTGTTATTTAGTCCGTCACTAAGTATGTCACTCAGGAGCATTATTAATTATATCACTGCAAATAATAAATCTTGCTGTGTACAATAAAGGCTGAATATATTTTTAGCTTTTTTGTTGTTGTTGAGAAAAGTGGGTTTCTAGAGACTTATATATACTTTAAAATTTTATGTAACCCTAACTGACTCTGGTTTGAACTGTGTGCTTATTCATTTTGTGTCTATGATGAAGCCATGGAGACTTAATAAAGAAGTCACCTTGTCAGCAGTGAATCCTTAATTTTTGTCAGTCATACAGAAATACTTGATTTCAAGAGGAAAGACAGCAGAAAATGTAGTTATGTAAAGCTTTGACACAACATGGAAATTTAATTAGATATCCAAATTTGATTTTTATCATCAAATAAAATTTTAGACTAAATAAACACATTTTAAGGGAGTAAAAGGGAAAAGGAGATGAACACCTTTCAGCATGTGCGTTTCCTGCTTTTTCCAGCAGTGATATTGCTAATTCTGTTGAAGGAAATTCACTGTTTAATGAGAGACAGCTGGTGAAAATGATATGTAAATAAGTAAGAATGCATGTAGACCTACATAATTAAGCAAAACTGAAACACTAATATAAAGTATATGTATTACCGGTATATTTTTTTCTCCCTTCGAATCTGGGAGGGTGCAACCCCAGCTCCAGCTATGGACGAGCCCCCAGGGGGCCCAACTTGATATTTTCCATGGGGCCCAAAATCTCTGGCAGTCCCCCTGCCCGTGAATCACCTTTTCTGACTGGCAGCAGGTGTTTTAAAAGCCGTGGGGCGTGGTTCATCTAAGGAATAAAAATCTTACCTGAGAGTTGGTGCAGCAGCGTAGACGCCAGGTTCACCGACATGTCCTGCCACAGCACTGCCCTCAGACACTGGTCCTCCATCTTGGCTCCAAATAAAAGCTGTTCTTCCAACTTTGCTCCGGTTAACACCTGAGCCGCCATCTTGGCTCCAGGAATAAACATGTTCTCCATCATGGCTCCTGAGGGAAACTGGTCTTCCTTCTTGACTCCAGAGAACAATCTCTTGTTTGCTCTAACTTCAGAAAAAGGCCTTGCTGCTATTTTTGCTTTAACTGGATGAAGGTCGTCCATTTTGGCTCCATTCAGGAGGGGACTGTTCATCCTGGATCCAGGAACACTAAAATCCTCCAGTTTCACCTGAAACTGGAAGCTGTTAGCTCCGGTGACTAAACCGGCTGTTGTCTTTGAGGCAGGCTGACAGCTGCCAGCAGAGAACCTGTCCTCTGCTTTAAGGCCAAAGAGACACTGATCCACCATCTTGGCTCCAAGGTGCAACTGGTCAACCATCTTGTCCCCAGTGATGTCCTGGTCTTCTGTTTTAACAGTAAAGAGGTGGTGGCTGGCCATCCTCAGGGCAGAATGGGTCAAGTCCTCCATGATTGGTTGGTTTTGGGTTGTAGGGTTAACTTCCATTGGCTCTTCCTCCTCTTTGACCTTCAACACATGACTGTTCACTTCCTGTCGCTCTGTAAATAATGGAAAATGAGACCACGTATTTCTTAGCTGTCAGAGGACTTAGAAATATTTTCCTGATGACGTAGACCAGAGAGCAGAGGTTATACCTGCTAGTTTCCTGAGCAGGTCAGAGGCCAGCGTGTCTGTTGTGGTGTTCCCGTCAGGAGTGTGCGTTATTGACGGAGGCTCAGGACTCGCCCCGGGGCCGTCCGGTGAGAGGGCAACGCCAGGTTCATCCTGTTGCCCCACCTCCTCCTGGATCCCAGGATGCATCTGGGCCTTCTGAGTGGCCTCTGAAGGGAATATGAGGCTGAGTGAGTGGATTAGATTGTATTTAATGTTCAGTGGAGCTCATATTACAGCCTAATTATCAGACCTGACCTGCAACAAGAGGAAAGGATTGAGCTCAGCGCAGCCAGGACTCTGAGATCTTAACAAAAATATCCATCAGATGGTTGAGATCTCAGGACCAGAGGCTTAAATCTGCTGCTCGGTCAGAACCCACTTCTCTGCTCCAGGATCATCAACCAGCTGCAGAAACTCATCCCTATTGAGCCTTGAAGACGCTTGAGTTCATTATTCGATATCATCATTATTAGTCATGTGTGCTTTTTTAGGCCCAGTGAACTTCAGTGATGAACAAAAGAGAAAACTCAAGATCGTAATTTCTATTACTGATTAATAACAGGGTGACCAGAGCCGCAGTACCATGCTGGGACGGGTTTGGATGCATTACTGAGGCATAAATGCATCAGAGTGTCACGATGGGAGTAGGAGGAGATTAGGACCCAAGATGCAGAACACCAGACGACACGAGGCAGGAGCAATTGTAAAAGTAAAATCCTTTTATTAGGATGGGGAACAGAAAATCCAAAAAGGCAGGAAGCCAAACCTAACATCTAAAATCGAAAGACAAAAACAAAAAGCTCAGTTATGAGCAGAGACCTAGAGACCTAGTGTGTGTGTGTGTGTGGGGGGGGGGGGGGGGGGGGGGGGGGAAGAACGACAACACTGACAAACATCAATGGACCGACAAAATACTGAGACGCAGACAGGGTTATATACATAGTGACTGTGTGATTGGGAGACGAGGAGCAGGTGCGTGGTGAGAGAGAACTGAGGAGAGACTGGTGAAATCAATTGACTAAATGGGAAGGGAAAACTAAGCAGGGGGGATAAATCCTAACCTATAAATCTCAAAATAAATAATAAACCTAAAGGACTAAGGGCACAGGAGAACCAAAGAATAAATAACTAATGACCTGAGGGGTAAGGGAGACTAATTAACACGAGGGGAAGGAAACACATGGAGACTAATAACATGAAAAGCTGAACCTATAGAAAAACTACAGAGGGGTGACTAGGGGAGACCTGAGGGAGACCGGGAGGGAGCTGGGGACAAAGAGGGGCACAGGAAGTTTGGGTACACATGAGGGGGATCCTAGAGGGACACCTGGAGGGGTTGGGGAGCACAAGGAGACACATAAGGGGAACCTAGAGGGGGGCTGGAGAACACATGAGGGGGACGCAGGATGCAGACCATGACACAGAGAAGAATCAAACCCAACGCACTTCAGTGTTAACATTAGGAGGTCATCTCAGAACGCAATTAATGAATGAAATATAAAAGATGGATTAAGGAAGCCATAGAAATACAGAGATGATGGGGCCTACACATTGGATCACACAAGGGACTGCGTCATCGGTGAGGAGAGCACAGGCAGCAGAGGGCGAAACTGTCCTCTACTGCCTTTCGCCCTCTGCTGCCTGTGGACAAACTAAGAAGGAAATGACGCTGCCATTAGAGGCTAGTTCTGATGAAGACTGCAGGAGTGGTCGAAACTATCAGCAAAAAGGAAAATAAGTCTTTCCTGTGTTAAAAAGAACGTAAAAATCAGAATGCAACTGCCTCAGCTACAGGTATTACCCAGAGCCAGGAAACACGTAGAACCTTTCCAGAGTTTGAATCATGGTTTACCCTGCCGTTAAGTCCTCTCTCAACCTCAGCACTACCTGTAAGTTTATCTATCCATCCATCCATCCACCTACCTACCTACCTACCTACCTACCTACCCACCCACCCATCCATCCATCCATTCACCTACCTACCTACCTACCTACCTACCTTCCTACCCACCCACCCACCCATCCATCCACCTACCCACCCACCCACCCATCCATCCATCCATCCATCCATCCATCCACCTACCCACCCACCCACCCCTCCATCCATCCATCCATCCATTCACCTACCTACCTACCTACCTACCCACCCACCCCTCCATCCATCCATTCACCTACCTACCTACCTACCTACCTACCTACCTACCCATCCATCCATCCATCCATCCAGCCACCTACCTTTCCATCCATCCATCCTTACACCTACCTACCTACCCATCCATCCATCCATCCATCCATTCACCTACCTACCTACCTACCTACCTACCTACCCACCCACCCACCTACCTACCTACCTACCTACCTACCCATCCATCCATCCATCCAGCCACCTACCTTTCCATCCATCCATCCTTACACCTACCTACCCATCCATCCATCCATTCACCTACCTACCTACCTACCTACCTACCTACCTACCTACCTACCCACCCACCTACCTACCTACCTACCTACCTACCCATCCATCCATCCATCCAGCCACCTACCTTTCCATCCATCCATCCTTACACCTACCTACCCATCCATCCATCCATCCATCCATTCACCTACCTACCTACCTACCTACCTACCTACCCACCCACCCACCTACCTACCTACCTACCTACCTACCTACCCATCCATCCATCCATCCAGCCACCTACCTTTCCATCCATCCATCCTTACACCTACCTACCCATCCATCCATCCATCCATCCTTACACCTACCTACCCATCCATCCATCCATCCATCCTTACACCTACCTACCCATCCATCCATCCATCCAGCCACCTACCTTTCCATCCATCCATCCATCCACCTACATTTCCATCCATCCAGCTCTTTATCTCCATCCATCCAGAAAATCTCTGGAAGAAGATAACTAGAAGAAATTCTAATCAGATGACTGAATGCCCACAGCGGACTCCTTTGATGAGGGGGAAGAATAGCTCTCCTCTGAGACAATTTTGTATGATGGAGGTCCTAATCTAACCTCTAAAGCTGAGCCTAACCAGCCAAGAGAGGAGGCTAATTTCAGCTGCTTGGGTCCAGACCCTTCTCTTTTCAGTCTCGATCCAAATCTCATGAATTCAGGTGAGGATTGGAACAGACATAAAAATAAATTGAGAGCTTTGATTTTCAGCTCTGCTTCATTTTCACCACAGCACACCAAGCCATGATCGATTGGCCCATTGCTTGCTTCATGTTATCATCTCTCATGAAGAAGAAGAGATACATTAACTCCTTTGTCTGAAGCAGAGACTCACTCTCAATTCAAAGGGCCCAATCAACCGATTTATGTTGAGAACCACGTCCTTGGACTTGGAGGAGCTGACTCTAATCCAACTTCATGGTCCATGGCTTGAAGATACCAACAAAACTGCATCATCTGGAAAAGTCAGGTTCCATCTTGGGTAGACATTCATAGAAACCCTGCCCCCTACAGGCTCACACGCTTCTTAAGGGCAATCAAAAGGCCCTTTGCCTCTAGTAACTGTGGCTCGACTCTGCTCAACCCCTTTCAGGTGGTTTTCCATTGTAGCTAAGATACTGCTCTTGTGGGCATGCTCGTCATAAAGGGACTGCCCCTGGGCTTTAAAAAAAGGTACTGCAAGTTGAACTATACCTGATACAAAAGTAGCACATGTGATCTGGACATGACACAAAAGACAGTGTAAAAGAAAATCTCGGGATGCTGAACATTCGGATCAGACGGGTTGAGCCAGGCTCCAAAAAGAAGAGACCCGGAAAAAGCAGCAAGGTGAAAAGCAATTTATTTTGCTTTTTCAGCTCAGCTTGTTAGGCTTGCAACCGCTCCAAAGCAGGTACCTTAAATGGGGTGGCAACCTGGTACCCTTTACCAGTGGAAATGCTTTGGAACCAGGCTGAACTGAGTCAAGCCCTGCTGAGATTAGACTAGAAAAACCCAACTCCTGCGAGGCTGAAGATCTGGTTGATTGTTCCTGTAAAGCTTCATTAACAGATGCAAACCAGAATCCATGTGGTTTCTGCAAGACCAGTTATCACTGAGCCCAATCAGAGCATTTACACCAGCTGCGTTGTGGTGCAGATGTGGATGCAGAGCAGTGGAATCTTTCTATGTGGTTTCTACGTTTTGCGGACGCCGTAAGTGGACTGTTGTTGAGGAATTTACATGAGACAAACAGGAAGTGAGACAAACAGTTGCATCTGGGTTATTTCAAAATAAACCCAATGTTGCATCATTCTGTCCATCTTCTTTTGTTATTATTAAGACAGGGTTACTGGTTCACAGAGTATGATAGTACCAGCTCCTCTCCCACGTAGATGTTATCGTGTGAACTCTTTCCGGAGACCTTCTGCACACGATCCACAGCTGGTTTAAGTGGCGGTCTGTCTGGAAATCGCACAGATTCTGGTCTGCATCTGTTCTGGACTCAGGTCAAAGCCACGCTTCTCCTGAATCGGAGGTTCAGCTATCAACCAAAGCCTCCTTTCCAACTCCCCTGAGGAAACCTTCCCAGATCATTTGTAGATTGAGGATTACTGACCAACAAACCTTTATGCTGTTGACACGTGTTTGGGCTGTGGGAGGGCTTGGTGGTTTCAGGAAGATCAGACCACTGAGAAGTCTCCATGCAGCGGGTTTGTTGAGTTTTACCTCCGACCTGTCCCGTTCTTAACCCAGAAAACATTTTCCTCAAAATATCTCTGAGTCTGCAGCGTTGACCTGAGCCAGGTTTGGACCACAGCGGGCTCCACTATTGCTACTTCAGCTGCTCTCGCTTTAATCGACTGCCTGTCAGTTTTCTGTTTCAGCAGGAATAAATTGGTTGTAGCTGCATTTTTCTTTCTCTTTGTGTTTGTTTCAATAATGCTTCACTAAAATCGGCAGTTTTGAGATAGGATTTAGTGATTTTTGGAATTGAGTCCCACTGGACACAGCTCTGCACACACGTACAAACTTCTTATATTAAAAACTGTTCTTGACGTAAATCTCTTGGTTCTAAGTGTTAAAATTTCAAGAATCGAACTCCTGACTATAAATGCCACGTTAACTGAGCGGTTGTCTTGTAACTTTTCATTTTAGTTTTATTGATAAATTGGGATAAAACGTCATCAAAGTGACAAATGTGTGCTTTTACCTGACAGCCTAATGAGGAGGTCAGACGCCATCTTGGTGCTGACATCGGGGCTGAACAGAGAGGTGGCTGCTGGTAGAGGACTGGAACCTGCGGCGTGTGTGTTTGCCTCGGACACACTCAGTGAGCAAGCCTCCTCGCTGGTGTGTGTCTTTGTGTGTGTGTGTCGTTTGGCTGCATCAGAGGGAGGCTGCAACACACTCGACCCACGCTTCATTTTTAAACGAGTGTGTGCGTGTTGTAAAAATAATAAAAGGAAGAAGAGTCAAAACTCAGAAAAAGAGGAGGGCAATAGAGAAGGAGGAAGAAGAGGAGGAGAAAGGCAGTGCTGCTAAAATAAGAAGGCCGTGCTTTCTAATGTACGGAAGTGAGGAGAGCATGGTGGAGAAGAAAGGGGAGATTGCAGAGGGAGGATTTGCTCTTCACATCGAGCTGTTGCTGGCTCTCATTGACCTAAAAGACAGAAAAAGAGACGGATGGAGGGGAAGGAGGAAGAAAAGAGGAGCAGCGAGGACGAAGGGCGAGAGAGGACAAGGGTGAGAAAGTGAAAGAGGATGAGAGGAGGAACAGGAACAAAGTGAATCTGTGAATGAATAAATTATTGAATGGGTAGAGCCTAATGATAAGGAGATAAATCATCCCGTTATCGCCATGGTAACCAACCCCACTGTGTCATCTTCTGCCCTGACCTTCCCACCAACAAACAATCACAATTATGATCAATAATCATCAATGAGCCTTCAGTCTGCCACCATCTGTTACAGCTGATCACTTCATGCTCTTGTCTCTGCGTTCACGTGTATGAAAGTCTAAAAATGTGTTTCAATTTATTACGAATAATAAAAATAAATCGGATAATCTAAAATAAGTATTTAATTACATTTAGATAAATTAATATTCACAAAATTTAACATAAAATAAAAACGTAGTTAGGCTACCTACAAATAAGACATTACAAAAGAAACAATAAAAGAAATTCATTAAAATGTTTTAATTATTCTGTTTAATAAATAAACCAAATCAGACCTCCAGCTGTGTACCTGGCTCACAGCTGAAGTCGAATTAAGAGACTGAAGGTGATAAATCGACCAGGCAGCGTGTACTCGGTGTACTCTTTCCCTCCGACCCCGTTTCCTGCCGCCTCGCGCCCCTGTCTCTAGGCGACACCATGCGGGCTGCTGCCGCCGCATCCGGCACAATTCACCGGACACCAGTTCCTCCGCGACCCCCTCCTCCTCCGGAACACTCGGTGTCGGTCCCTCGGTCGGTGTCAGACCCCCCTACCCGGTGCCCCGCTCTTTAGCTAGTTACCCCCGTCTCCGACCGCAACATGGCTGAACGGAGCCCAGACTCCCCGCCACACCGAGTCAGAAAGTCCTTTCCCGGTGCGGGATGTTGGAGCGGGGCTTAGTGCCGCTCCACCGCTGCTTGCAACGGTTCTCCCTCGCGCTGCCGCCTGTTACCGGTAACAAGGGCAGGTGTCATGAGCCCGTGCGCCCCCCCCAACACACACACACACACACACGCGCGCGCGCGCGCACACACACACACACACCTCCGCTCTCCACTCCCACTCCTCCTCCTGCAACATGGCTGAACGGTAACCCGACCTCTCGAGACCTCAAAAGTCGTTTCACGGGTCAGTTAGCATCCGTACCCGGACATCACCGGCACCAACCCGCCCCGGGACGAGGCGATGCCCTCCCGGCTCCATCTCCCCCCACCTCGCCACTTACCAGCACCAAGGGGGCAGGTGGCGGCGGCGCTGGTGGTGCAGTCCGGGGCATAGCCTATATATAGACTATAGATCTCATCCATGTTCATCTTTTCTTTCTTTTATCTCCGCGGATATCCTCCGGTTCCTGCTGGTAAATGAAAGAGACCGACGCGAGGAGGTGCTCCGTCTCCTCCCGGAGCCTGAGGATGACGGGTCGGTCACCGAGCAGGGCAGATGGTGGTTTCCGCCTCCTCTCTTTCTTCATGTGTGTGCGTGCGCGCGCGCGCGCGTGTGAAGAGGAGATGCAGTGGGTTTTCACATCACTAATATTACAAAATGTACAATTTATTACTGGGAACCTTCAGCAGTCTAGCAGAAAGCTCAGTCCAGAAACATGTTTCAGTTTAAAAATGGTTCCACGTCAGTCACGTGTTAGCGCTAAAAACCAGCTATTTAAATACTTTTTGCCATACTAGGGTTGTAGCAGAGCTGCTATAATTTTACTTGTTAAACTATTAAAAAATAACGTTTTTTACTAAACTGAATTTAACCATCACACTTTTGTCAAAGGTTAGCTTGGGTCATCTCAAGCCACCCCTTTAGTTATGCTAAATGACTAGTTTGAGCCACAGATTTGTGACGATTTGTTTTGGTTTCCAACCATTTAGCAAAGAGAAGCAAATGAAATATTTCTGCAACTACTTTGTGAGAACATTTGTCCTTTATTCCAAACTCCCGCAACACAAGAAAAAGGAATAAAAAAAACAACTTAATCAAGGTTTTATGGTATTTTGTAAACTTCCTCATAAATTCTATGGTCTCCGTGTTTTTAGTCATTTCTGTGCCTGGCAAGGTCCAAGAAAATGTTCCTGATGATGTTAACCCATTCTGCAAAACCAAGAACACCACTTAGTTGTGACTTAACTTATGGCGGGTGCCCCATAATGATGGAAAAGGCCTTTTGTTTCCTCCAAGATTGTTGGAGGAGTTCCACTGGGAGGATGCTTTGGTACCCTTCTTTATTCGTGTCTGTGTTCTGAAACTAAACCTTGAATTTGACTGAGAAGTATCCACACACTTCACTGGTAGGACACAGGAGTGAAGGAGAGCTCAACTTATCTCTTAGGAGGGAGGAATTAGGGGAGCTCATAAGGTGGGCCAAGGTTGCAGAGGTCGTGGGTGACCCATGAGCAGATGGTGAAGATAAAAGACAAATGAAAAAGAACCAACAAAGAGGAGGAACTGGGACTGGAGACAAGGAGACTTGTGATGATGAGAACAATGTGTGGCGAGGACAAAGATGTTGAGGGAAAACTGTTGCCAATAAGAGGTGAAAGGACACCAAGGGGGCAGCTGAGGCTGACTAATACAGCTAATGGAAAAGGAAAATGGGGAACTGAGATGCTAAACTACCTTAAAAGGTCAACTTAAGGCATCCAGACAGTCCCTTTTCCAGATAATTCAAACACTCAGGAAGGACCATTTCTAGTTTTATGCATCCCGTAACAAACACAAAGGGCCCCATGATCACTAGAAGGCCTGACGGATGAATGGTCGACCTCCTCTTCTCAGAGAACCATGCATCTTTATCCATAATGATCTTAAAATCATATCTAAGACATGAGAATAAGATCAGCTGCAGTGGACTGTATAGCTGTCATAATTAAGTCTAAATCATTGACCCCACTGGCCAGGGACAAATGTTGTGCTGCCATCATCTACCCGTAGAAGCTGTTTCTCAGACATTGGCAGCTTATAAACTGTCTATCAGGTTTAGTGTTTTGTAAACAATTATAAATGAAGAGGAGGATAAAACACAAGATGTGATACTGAATTTGTTTGATTTTGTTATGTAATTCTATAGAAATATAGACACTGATAAAGAAATCAAACTGTCCCATGTCAATCGTGGATCCTCCACCAGGGGGCAGACATGTACAGGACAGAATATGGCAGGTGTCTGATGAAGGCATTACATCACATTGCCTCCTGGACATCTCCCTGGTGAGGTTTTCTGGGCACGTCCAACCGGGAGGAGGCCTAAAGGGAGACCCAGGAGATGTTGGAGGGACTATGTCTCTCACCTGGCCAGGGAACACCTTGGGATTCCCCTGAAAGAGCTGGCCCAAGTGGCTGGGGAGAGGGAAGTCTCTGCATTATTGCAGAGCCGCGTCAGTCAACACAGCCCCACAACATCCACAGCCTTAAGGAACTCTGGGTGGATCTCATCCACTCCCTGAGTCTTGCCACAGAGATACCTCAGCCCCAGAGATTTGAGAGCCCAACTCAAAGTCCCCAGGCTCTGCTTCCTCATTGGAAGATGTGCCGGTGGGACTGAGTAGGTCTTTAAAGCATTCTGCCCACCGATCCACAATGATCCCAATGTCTATCAATATTGTTGGTAGCACACTGCCCCCCCCACCCCCCGTCCCCCCCAGGCGCCGGATGGTGGACCAGAAGCTCCTCGTAGCCGTGCGGAAGTCTTGCTCCATGGTCTCACCGAACTCCTCCCATGCCCGGGTTTTTGCCTCCGTGACCACCTGAGCTAGCCTGGCAAGCCAGACTAAATAAATGTATTACTTAGTCTGGCCACGCTCCATTGACAGCTCCTGGTTGTGGGGCGGGTTCTACCGTTGTCTTTCAAATGATCTCCGCATTCCACTGGATAATGACTGTGACATACTCTTGTTTCACTCTGTTGCATCATCCCACCCACCAGGCATATAGAGTGCCCTGATTGGCCCACAAAGCGGATAAAGCTCTGTGATTTGTTCACTAAGCAGATAGAGCACTATGATTGGTCCACCATTATGGACCAATCACAGCTCTCTATGTGTTTGAAACCCCTCTAGAGAGCTGTGATTGGCTAGCCAGAGTCCTGGTAGGAGCTGCAGAGGTTCCAATGGAGCATGCCTAGACCAAACTTTGCAAAGCAAGAATTTGGTCTAGTTCACTAGGCTACACCTGAGCTGCATTCCGCTTGGACTGCCGGTATCTATCAGCTGCCTCTGGAGTCCCACAGACCAAAAAGACCTGATAGGACTCTTTCTTCAGCTTGACAGTATCCCTAAACACCAGCGTCCATCAGCGGGTTCGGGGGTTGCTGCCACCGGACTCAATGTCCCCCGCCTCCCCTGGAACATTTTGGAAGTTCTGTCAGAGGTGTGAACTGAAGCTCCTTCTGACAGGAGACTCTGCCAGATGTTCCCAGCAGACCCTCACAATACGTTTGGGCCTGCCAGGTCTGACCAGCATCTTCCCCCACCATTGGAGCCAACTCACCACCAGGTAGTGGTCAATTGACAGCTCCGCCCCTCTCTTAAACTCTATACCAATAATAAAATAAAATTGACCCTTTCCACCTGTTGATTCTCCACCAGGGGTCAGCAAACAAACAGGACTGAGTATGACAGGTTAGTAATGTAGACACTAATCATGATACTCCATCTGGATGTTTTAAGGCCTGCCTCCAACATGCCTCCATCTAAAAGACTAGGTTATCCAGAGTTATCTCTGTAGTTATGCTGCTATAGGATTAGACTGCTGAAGGACACACTGACCACTTTCCACACTCTACTACTTTCTTCTACAATCCGTTCTTTAACTGTATTATTTCCTGCTATTTCAGCTGTTAACTTTATTTTTTCTCTAAGTGTTTTTCTCCCCAGAAGAAGCTACAGCGATGTTCTGCTGAGTGTGGTGGCCTCATGGAGGGGGCCATCGACTAGCACACTGCTGCTGACCACTTAAACATTCTCCCTCTCCTGATAATAACGTGTTACTTTCCTTGACATTGAATGTGCTACTACTAGTTTACCCATTTAATGATAGATTCACTAGGATAAATACAATAAAGTTTATCTCTCACCAAATACAATATTTACTAAGAAATCAAAATGTAACCATAGAAACACTACTTGGTATATATGTTGTGTGTGTGTTTGTGTGCGTGCGTGCGTGTGTGCGTGTGTGTGTGTGTGTGTGTGTGTGTGTGTGTGTGTGTGTGTGTGTGTGTGTGTGTGTGTGTGTGTGTGTGTGTGTGTGTGTGTGTGTGTGTGTGTGTGTGTGTGTGTGTGTGTGTGTGTGTGTGTGTGTGTGTGTGTGTGTGTGTGTGTGTGTGTGTGTGTGTGCTCTATCTTCTCGATCCCCAGTGACTCGTGGTGGATGGCTGCTTATACTGAGCCAGGATCCTCTGGAAGTTTCTTCCTGTTAAAAGGGAGTTTTCCTCTCCACAGTCGCTGCATGCTTGCTTAGTATAAAGATTACTGTAAACTGACTCTGACACTAGTCAGTGACTTGATGCAATTTGCTTCGTTCCTTGTATAGGACATTTTTACTGATTGGCTAAATGAACTGACCTGTATTGGAATGTTTACTGTGTGAAGTGCCTTGAGACAACTCTTGTTGTGATTTGGCGCTATATAAATAAACTGGAATTTAATTGAACTGAAGGCCAGAAGAACTGGTTTTACATGAATTACTGATGGTAATCTATGGAGGTTAAGTGTTTACATACCTGTCTGAATTGATATGAAACACCACATGGACTTCTTGATCTGATAAAACATTTGCGGTGTATGAAAATCCTGCAGCTTAGAGCAGTTGATTTCCTATCACCTTCTAAGAAAACATTGACTGCGGTTTGCTTTGCGAACACAGGCCTGTCCACACTGGAGCGCACGTGTGTTTCAAGGTGATTTAGGGACTCTCTCCATCATGGGCTCCATGTTTCATACCTCTCCACCCATGG